GCCGGGTGTGGGGGCCGGGGCGTGGCCAGATGGGTATGGGCGGGCTTTGGGCGTGGCCTGCAGGGTGGGGCCAGATGGGCGGAGCCAGAGCAACACTGGCCAGTTGGGCAGGGGCGGGGCCAGACAGGGTTGGGGCGGAGCCAAGCGGGACAGGGCGGGGCCATATCAGCACTGGGGGCGGGGCCGGGGATGGCCAGAGCTGCACCTTGTGGCACAAGAAGTTCCGTCCGTCCACGCGGAAGCACACGTCGGGGCAGCTGTTGAAGGCACAGGCGCAGGGGAAGGGCAGCTCTCCCAGGTCACCCTGGGGACAGGAGAGGAGATGGTGTCACACAGGCCCGGGGTGGGGGACAGCCCCAAGGGCACGTTTCAGGAGAAGCCAATCTGGTCCAGAGAGAAGTGGACAGCCCGGGAAAGGGCTGCCCACCAGCCACTGGGCACTCACACGGAGCTCAGGCGGCAGGGCGCCATCGGCCAGCAGGGCCAGGTCCTCTCGGAGCCGGGGGTCCGCGGGGGGTGGCTCGATGGTCAGCACCTTCACGCACGTGCCCGGCTTGGATGCCACTGCAGAGGGGAGCGTGTGAAGACACCACGCGGCCCCGACCAGCCCTGGTCCCGGGGACCCACAGCCCAAGGCCCACGCACCGAACTCGGACACCTTCTCGCACTTGGCCTCCAGGTCGCTCAGCAGGTCCCACAGCTGACACTGCTTGGCCAGACGCTCACAGTCACTGACGTGCTCCACGCCCACGTCCAGGCGGCCTGCGGGCAGGGCAGACGGTCAGGGGGTCTGAGCCTCCCTGCCGGCAGCCCGGAGTTAGGGACCCGCAGGGGGCCAGGCCTTGTCCCACCCCCACCTCTCGCTGGCCCCACCGAGATGAGCCCTCCCGTCTCCCCGCCGGGTCGGGGGTCACCTGTGTACAGGTACTGCAGCAGGGCCCCAAAGGCCACTGGGTTGATCTGCGAGCAGAGGCACGGGGAGAGGCGGTCAGAGCCGGGTGCCCGGCAGAGCCCCCCGCTGTCCAGGGCTCGCCGGAGCCCCCCACCCCGCAGGAGGGCCGACCAGAGGGTGCCGGAGAACCACGACGTTCTTGCCCTTCCACTTGGTGTCCAGCATGTCGGCGAAGTAGGTGCTGCGCGCGCCCAGCACACAGCGGTGCGCCCGGAAGGGCCTCCCGTGCACCACGAAGACCACGTCGCTGTAGAGGCCCTGCTCCAGGAGCCTGCGGGCGAGGGGCGCTCAGCGGCAGGCACCGCACACAGCCACACCCGGACGGACCACCCCACGTGCACACAAGGCAACACACACACACACACGTGCCGGCACACAGGCCTATGCACAATGGTACCGGCTGACCCACATACACATGCTCACTCACACTCTATCTCATGCCCATAAACACACATACACACATTCTTACTATCACTCACACTCATACACAAACTCACACTCATACACTCACATTCATACACACGCTCACAGACTTATACACTCATACTCCTACACACTCATACTCACTCATACACACTATTACGCACTACTGCACACACTGTCCACTCACATACACACTCACACCCTGTCACACACGATCACACTCACACTGATACGAATGCATTTATACACACTTTTACACACTCATTCAGTCATACACATGCTCCTGTACTCACCACTCCTATACACACTCATACATACTCACGCATACACACTTGCACACATGCACATATTCCCATGCACTTATCACTCACAGCCACATACTCATACACACTCGACACATGCAGACTCACACACTCATACACATTTATCACTCATACACCCAAACACACTCATACATTCACTCATACACACGCACTCACATTCACACTTATATGCTCACTTTCATGCACATCAATCATACACAGACTCATACACACTCATACTCTCATACACGTTCACACACTCATATACTCACATACTCATACACATCAGTCATACACACTTTCATACGCTCACACACTCACATACACACTCACACACTCACCCATACTCATACACTCGCACTCACACACACTCACACTCATACACTTGCACACTCACACTCAGACTCACACTCACAGCCGCACACACAGCCACCCAGAAGTCGGCTGTGCTCACCGCTGCAGGAAGTCGTCGTAGTAGTCCCGCCTCCGGCACGAGGCCGTCACCTGCTTGTAATCCCGCAGCGCGCGGCGGATACCGTCACTCAGCGCCCCGTACAAGCAGCGCTCCCCGTCAAACGTGTTGGCCTCACAGCGCGCCCCTGTAGGTTAGGCTCCGACTCAGCTGCCTGACGAGGCCATCCACACTGCCCAGGGGCCTGGAGCCCTCGATGCCCTTCCCTGGACCCCCAGACCTCAGCGTCCAACCCCACACCTCCACTCACTGGCAGCAGCCCACCCACACCTCAGCCAGGCACCCAGCCCCGAGACGGAGCCCTGGGCTCCCTGTCCACACAGCAGCGAAGAACAGACGTGCCCAGGGCTGCCACCAAAGGCAGGCGGAGCTGCCAACAGGGGGCAGGGACAGTCATCAGGGTTGTCCCCAAGGGGACAACCGCAGGAAGGTTCACACCGCCAAGGCCCTGGGGTAGCAGCAGTAGCATGGCGTGTCCACGTGGGAGAGCCAGTGGTTGGGGCTGGCTGGGGGGACCCGCCTGGGACCAGCCGTCCAAGGGACTCAGGGCTGGGCACTGTGGCTATGAGGATTCCCCGAGGTGCAGAGCGCCACCAGGAGGGGGCGTGGGGCCCAGGGGCTGTCCCCGCGGAGGTGGCAATGCCCTGGACAGTGGCAGGGCCAAACACACACGAACACACAGGCCCGGCGCAGGACCCCTCTCACCGTTGGCCAGGAGGTAGAGGACCAGCTCCTCGTGCCCGCACAGGCAGGCATAGTACCTGCAGGAGGCAAGGTGGAGTAAGGCAGACGGGAACAAGGCTGTGGGCCCCACCCCCGCCCCGCCCCCTGCCCACCGGGCACTCACAAGGGGGTACTGTCCCACTTGTCTCGCACGTTCACCTCCACATCGCGCTGCTCCAGCAGGTACCTGGCCAGCGAGGGGGACAGAGCCAGGTGAGGCCAGGTGCACGGTGCGGGAGAGGGGCCCTGAGACCCAGAGGGAGGGGGTGGGGCAGAGGGCAGGGAGGCCAGCGCCAGAAGGGAATCCAAGCCAAGGGGGCAGAGCCACAGGGCAGGGGTGGCCTGGCAAAAGGGCAGAGGGGGCACTGCAGCAAGGAGGCTGAGGGGAGGTAGAGGAGGAAGTGATGGTGATGTTAGAGGTGATTTAGAGGTAGAGAAGGTGGTGACTGATGGTGGTATCAATGATGATAGAGGTGGTAGTGATGGAGGAGGTGATGGAGGGTGGTGGAGTTGATGGTGTTGGAGGAGGTGATGGAGGCGGCTGTTGTTGTTAAGCAAAGTGATAGTGACAGAGGAGGTGATGGAAGAGGTGCCAGAGGTGGCCAAGGAGGTGATGGAGGAGGATAAGGTGATGGTACTAGAGGAAGCATTGGAGGTGGTGACGGCAGTGGAGAAGGTGATGGTGATGGTGTTGGAGAAGCTGATAAGAGGAGGAGGAGGAGAAGGAGGAGGAGGAGGAGAAGGAGGGGAGGAGGAGGAGGAGGAGGAGGAGGTGGTGGTGGGCAGCTGGGCTGGCACAGGGGAGGCAGAGATGCATGGGGAGACCCGGATACTTGGCCCCTGTCTGATGGTGGGAAAGGGGGGGACAGGGGTGGGGGTGGTCATCACTCACTCAGAGGAGCAGCCTGGACAGTGGGGGCGCAAGGTAGCGTTCAGTTTGGGGACTACCAACAGGTTCCGGGGGGCACCTGGCCGGCGGGGGCAGGGAAGCTGGGGTGTAGGGGACAGAAGCAGCCTGAGACCCGCCTGGGGGAGGGGGGTCTCAGGAGCGTCCCCACGCCGGGGCACCCGTCCCTCTCCCGGGGCTCGGCCACTCCCGACGGCCTGGGCCGGTGGGGGCGGGGCGGGGGCCGCTGGGGCCCCTCTGGGCTGTCCCAGTCGCAGCCCCCGCGCAGGGGCGTCGCGAGGGGGCTGGGGGGGGGGCGTGCGCGTCTCTCTGGGCGCGGGTCCACCCTGCCCGGCCCGGGCCCAGCGCCGGCTGCAGCGGGACCGTGGGGGCGCCCCCGCCCCCCGCCCCCGGCGCCGCGGGAGCCTCACCGCACGCGGCCCACGTCCCCCTTCCTGCAGCTGGCGAAGAGCTCGCTGGTGTCCATGGCGCGGACGGCTCGGACCCGGGCCCGGCGACCTCGGGCGGCGGCGGCGGCGGTGGCGGCGCGCCCCGGCGGATGTAAACACGCCCGGCCCCGCCCCGGCCCGGCCCGCTCCGCCCCGCTCGGCTCCGCAGCGGCGCCTGGTGCCCGGAGGACCGACCCGGCCCGGCCCGGTCCGGCCCGCGCGGCGCCCGGTGCCCACGGATCGGCCCGGTCCAGTCCGGCCCGTGGCGGCGCCCGGTGCCCACGGATCGGCCCAGCCCGGTTTGGCCCGCGCGGCGCCCGGTGCCCACGAATCAGCCCGGTCCGGTCCGGCCCGCGGTGGCGCCTGGTGCCCGGAGGACCGACCCGGCCCGGCCCGGTCCGGCCCGCGCGGCGCCCGGTGCCCACGGATCGGCCCGGTCCAGTCCGGCCCGTGGCGGCGCCCGGTGCCCACGGATCGGCCCGGCCCGGTTTGGCCCGCGCGGCGCCCGGTGCCCACGGATCAGCCCGGTCCGGTCCGGCCCGCGGTGGCGCCTGGTGCCCGGAGGACCGACCCGGCCCGGCCCCGTGCCCACCCGGCGTTGACGCGGGAGGACCGACCCGGCCCACATTGGCGCCGGTGCCCACGGACCAGCCCGGCCCAGAGCGGTGTTCGGTTCCCAGGGACCGACCCGGCCCGGTGCCCACCCGCCGTGCCCTCCCAAGAACGAGTCGGGCAGGCGGACGCTGGGCCCGGCGCGGCTCCGAGCGGCTTTATTGGGGTCCCGCGGGGGCCGGCGTGGGGACAGTCAGTGGGAAGCGGGGGACCCGCGCGGGCTGCTGCGGGCGCGGCGGCTCCGGTGCCTCACAGGTGCGTGTCCTCCTCGAACACGTCCGAGTCCTCGGGGTCCCGCTTGCCCCCCATGAGCGCGCTCCAGCCCCCGGGGCCGTTGACCGCCCCGCCGCCGTTCAGGCTCGGCTGCTTCTCCTGCAGCTCCGACTGGCTGTCGCTGGCCACGTCCAGCGTGGGGTTGTCGTGGCAGCCGTTCTCCACGAAGCGCAGCTCCTCCCCGTGGGACTGCGGGGGGTGGGGGGAAGAGAGGGGCACTGGGCCGGGCCTGGTGGGCGCAGGGTACACCCCCCCACCGGCCCCAACGCGCCCACGGCTCCTTCCTTCCGGGTGGGCGAGTCCCGTACCCAGCTGGCCACTCCCTTCTTCGAGGTGCTCATCCCCCTGCCCACCCCCACCCCCCGCGGGGACGCAGGGACACTGGGTCTGGGGTCCTGTGCCCCCTCCTACCCTCCTGGGGACCCTACGGACGGCTGGGGCCTCTTCTGGACCCCTGAGCACCAGCGTCCGCCCCTCCAGGGGCTGGTGCCTTGGGATCCCATGGTGGAGTGTGCACCCCAAAACCCGCACCCTCTGCACCTTCTGGGGCGGGAGGGGCACCTGTGAACTTGCAGCTGCCCCAGCAGGATCTCCTCCCGACACCCCCCGCCCCACCCTGCAGAGGGTGCCCTCTGGCCCCAGGTCAACGTCCCCTGTACAGGAAAGCCTCCGACACCCTGCCCCAGGCTCACCACATGTTTGAGCTTGGGCAGCCGGCGCTGCCAGCAGTTGTAGAGTAGGCCCAGCACGATGATGATGACACAGATGGCTCCGATGACCACCAGCACCACGAAGAGCGTCCCGTAGTCACTACGCACCTGGCTGGCCCGGGCCTGGCAACTGCTCGTCATGGAGTAGTTCTGGATGCCAATCTGGGGGGTGGTGGGGGGTGGACAGGGGGCCAGGGTCCTCAGCAAAGGCCCCTGGGGGGGGAGCAGCTCAAGGTGAGGGTGGGCGTGTGAGGTCGGAGAGTGGGGGGCTGGCACACTCGTGGCTCCGGACACTCCTCTGGCCTGGACCTGCTCCTCCGAGACTGCCCAGCTCCGTCCTCCCCACCCCCCACCCCCCACCCCATCCCGCCCTGACCAGGCTGGACTCTAGACCCACCGAACCAGTCCCCGGCCACCGCCAGCCCCTTCCCTTCTCATTCCGGGAGGGAGTCACACTGAAGTGGTGGCAGCCCTGTCCAAAGTGCTGGTCACAGTGCCCGCCCCGACCTCACAGCCGAAAGCGTGACAGGGCCGCTGGGAGTGCCCGCACACGCCGTCTGGGACAGTCCTGGGAGCGCAGCCCTGAAGCGGGTGGGGTGCGGCTGGAGAGGGGGGACTCCTGGGAGCACTTCTTTCAGGGGCGGTGGGGAAGAGGGAGGCACGCCAGCAGTGCTCAGGGATCGCCCTGGCTGTGCTCGGGGAACCATACAGGTGCCAGGGAGTGAGCCTGGGTCGGCTGCGTGCAGGGCACGTGCCCTCCCCGCTGTGCCTAGGTGGGTCAAATGACAGCGAGCTGCCGGGCTGACAGGTGTCATCACAGCCTTCAGACTGGTCCCCAGGGGCGTCAAGTGCTTGACACCACACACACACACACACACACACCCACACCGACCAAACACACCACCCCACACCCCCTCATACACACAAACACCACACACATACCTATACACACCCCATGCACATACACACCAGAGACACATATACAAACACACCACACACATACATACACACACCTGCACATACACCCCCCCCACACACACACATTCTGGCTTGTTCTGGGGTGAGTCTGCCTTCCCGGCTGCCAGTGGCCATCAGCGGTGGGGGTGGGGCCCAGGTGCCACTGACCAGCTCCCTGGGGGGCGGGGAGCGAGATCTCCTGCAAGTTCTTGTCCCTTTGCTCTCGGGACGCTTCGTAAGCAGAGGTGGGCTGGCTCCTTAGAGCTTGCCAGGTGTGCCCGCTAATCTACTCCACAATAAAATAATCTTTTGTTTCCCCCAGTGCTCGTGAGCCCAGAATTTCCCGCTGGAGAAGAGCTGGAGAGATGTGTGGGCATGGTGAAGGGGCAGTTTCGGGAGCAGAGGCCTTGGCCTGGGGCCAGTCACTGCCCCACTCTGGCCCTTGGCTCTCACTGTACTTTTTTTTTCCTTTGATTTTGTTTTGGGGCCACACCTGGTGGTGCTCGGGGCTTAGTCCTGGCTCTGCATTCAGGGATCACTCCTGGTGGGGCTCAAGGGACCCTCATGGGGGTCAAGGGTGGAAGCTGGGTGATGGGGTGCGAGGCCAGCACCCTCCCTGCTGTGCATCTCTGCAGCCCCAGCTCACCCTATGTGGGGTACCAGCAGGGCTCACGGGGTGCCTCCCCGCCCTGGGGCGGCCCTGCGGTCTGGGAGCCCATGTCAGCATCCAGCACTGCTTGGCGAGAAGGCCGTCACTCAAATCCCACACCCCGCACCCCGCTGTCTTCAGAGTCCCAGACCGGCAGGTGCCCGGAGGCCCAGCAGACACGCGGGGCCCCAGGGAGAAGCGTGAGCACCAGGCACTGGGGTTCACTGTGTGAGGAGGGGGCTGTCTCCTAGGAACCCCGAGGTCCCACCCGAGGATGGAACCAGGGGCTGCTGTGGCCACACGGGGATGCTGCCCATCTGTCCTCACGGCGTGGCCACCTACCAGGGGTACCTCTCTGGGGCTGGGGACGTGGGGGGGCGGAGACATCGTCCAGGCCCACCCTGGGACACGCCCCCTCAGCTGCTGGCCCTGAAACTCTTCTTCCCACCACAGGCCATACCAGCCTGTGGCCAGCCAGGGCTGTCCCCGCAGTCGGGCCAGGAGACTCCCCAGACCCCTAGGCGAGAGCCTGCCAACCCCCACACACTCACCTCTACCAGGCTCCTGCGGACGTCACCCAGCATGGACAGGACATCCTGGGTGGGCACCACCCCTGGGGGGAGACAACCCGTCAGCACCACATGCCCCAAGCGAGGCTGCCCCGTGGCCCCCTATAGCGACCCCTACACCTCAGGGAGCCCCACGCTGCCCCCCGGAGTCCCCTCCCACCCCTCCTCTGCCCACGCTCACCCCGGCCCTCGCCCCCGTGCCCACGCGCGCGCTCACCCTGCGCGCCCACCAAGGCCATGAGCAGGTGCTGCTCCTTCTCGCTGGGCTTGCTCAGGGAGATGTGCCAGTCCCCGGCGTGGCCACTACCGTGACGGCGCAGTACATCCTCCACTAGCGCCAGCAGCTGCAGGCCCCGGAGCTGCCGGAACACCTCCTGCCAGGACACAGGGCACCGGCTCAGCGTGGCGGGGGCGACCCAGCCCCGGTCCCCACCAGCCTCAGCCAGAGCCTGTGATGCCCGCCGCCGGAGTCCGTGAGCCCACCTCGAGGCAGTGCCGTGGCCCCTCACAACACCCAAGGGCCCCTTCAGGCACCCTGAGAGGCTCCTTCCTGCCCGGCTGAGCGGGGACAGGAGGGTAGTGGGTGCAGTGTCCAGCAGGAGAAGAACCGAGGAGCCTGTGCCCAGGACTGGGAGATGCTGTCCCCGTTCACTGTGCCTCCTGGCCTCTCCCAGGAACCGTGATCAGGATTGGGGGGAGGGGGTGGTAGGGGGGAGGCGCTTCCTCCTCCGGCAACCCTGCTGCTTCCTGCTCCCATGTGGCAAGAGGCTGGTTCTACCCCGCAGCCCAGCCCTGCTCCCGAGTTCAGGGTGCTCCACACCCACTGTCCATGCACCCCGACCTCCCTGACCCCCCACTCCGCTCCCTTCTGAGCCCCTGCCGGATGCCTCTCCTCCCCGTGCCACACTCTGGCGGGGGTGGGGGGGACCCTGCAGGACGCGGCAGCCCCTCCCCCTCCAGAGGGGTCCTGGACTCTGGCTCTTCTCAGCTCGAGCTCACGCTTCCCCAGCTGTCGTGCCAACCCCAAGCCAAGCAGGGCGTCTCCGGTGCCAGTTTCCGTGCCTGGCTCCCGCGACAAGTGCCAGGGTCTGGCATGCGCTCACCAAGCAGAGAGCCAGGCCTCTGGAAACGGGGGAGCAGTGAGTAGATGCTGGGGGGACAGCCCTGAGCAGCGGAGAACGCCCGAATTCCTGTGCGATCGTCACTGCCTTCCACACACTTGTGTGCGTGCATATGCGCCCGTGTGTGTTGCTCGTGTGTGCATGCCCGGATGAGAGAGGGAGGGAGGAGTGCAGCCCATCCCTACCTCCACGGACTAGGGTCCACTGAGGCCCAGCAGCCGTAGTGCCTACATAGGAAACCCCTCTGCTCACAGAGGCTCGCCCCACAATGCCACAGCCCCGTTCCCCAGTGTGCATGCTTGGCCTCCTCTGGGCTGAGACGTCTCCTGGACTGCAGCTCCCAGATCCTGTGCCAGCCGGGAGGGGCTCACTGTCCCTTGGGCCTCAGTGTCAGTGGCCAGGGAAAAACCTGGGTTTTGGGGAGTCAAATAAAACCTGGGTTCCAAGTCCTGGGTTTCAGTCTTGGGTTGGAGAGGCGGCAGGTCACTGAGCACGGGCAGTGATCCCTGCGACCAGAGCCGGAAGTGAGCCCCGAGCACTGCCATGAGTGAGCCCCCCTGTACCCCACGCCCCAAATCTTGGTTCTTCTCCTTATTCAGCTTCGCCATCGTTAGTCAAATACTGCCGCTCTCTGAGCCCAGCGGGCCCCTCTGAAATGTGGCCTTGAGTCCTGGCACCCGAAGGTCACTCTGAGGAAGAGGAAGAGCAGGCCATCCAGATGCTGCCAACTGGACAGCTCTGCAGGCAAGAAAAACGCTCTGTGACCCCTGCCTGACATCACACACTAAAGCCATCCCAAGTGTTGGAGAGAATACAGCACGTAGGGCGCCTACCGTGCCCATGGCCAGCCCAAACGGTCAGCAGCCCACGAACCCCACACAGTTCCCCAAGTCCCACAGGAAGTGATTCCCTGAGCACAGAGCCCCAAGCAATGCTGGGTGTGGCCCCAAACCCTAAAAAGTCACCCAGAGGCATTACCAATCCAAAGTGTTCGAAGCTACTAAATGCCTGGGACAAACTGTCACGGACAACTCTGTAAACCACAGGGCTGAAATAAAAGTGTCCTTGATCCAGAGACACAGCAGTGAATCCCAGAAGACGGAGGCTCTCTGGAGTTCTCTCTGGACCCTATACCAAGCCAATGCCACTGGGCACCTCAGATGGAGTGGGTGTCCCAGCTCTGCCCGCTCCAGATGAAACCCCGATGGCCACAAGCTTCCAGAAGAAAAGCCCAGGGCTGGAGCGATAGCACAGCGGGTAGGGCGTTTGCCTTGCATGCAGCCAACACGGCCGACCCGAGTTCGATTCCTCCGCCCCTCTCGGAGAGCCCGGCAAGCTACCGAGAGTATCTCGCCCGCATGGCAGAGACTGGCAAGCTCCCCGTGACGTATTTGATATGCCAGACACAGTAACAACAAAGTCTCATACTGGAGACGTTACTGGGCCCACTTGAGCAAATCGATGAACAACGGGAGGACCGTGACGTGGGTTAGGGACTAAGACTCCAGGCCACATGGCGGCAATGGAGACAGGCCAGCCTTTCCCATCTCCCCACCTGCCTGGGGTTCTGCCTGTCACACCCATGATCTGCCTCTGGGTGCCATCTCAGCTCATCATAGCCTTGATCCGGAGACTCCCAAATGAATCTCAAAATGGATTAGCTCCCTACAGAGATGTCTCTGGACCTCAACTATTTACAATTTTATTTTTAAAATTTTTAAAAATTTTTTTTGCTTTTTGGGTCACACCCAGCAATGCACAGGGGTTACTCCTGGTTCATGCACTCAGGAATGACTCCTGGCCGTGCTCAGGGGACCCTATGGGATGCTGGGAATCGAACCCGGGTTGGGCCGCATGCACGGCAAACACCCTACCCGCTGTACTATCACTCGAGCCCCTCATTTCCAATTTTAGAATTCCAGAAGCGCATGGCCGCTTTTGCGGTCACATGACCTCTCATGATATTCATAATCAGCAATAGAAAAGAAATGATCTAGCAACTGCCCCTGGCAGGCAGGCTTGAATGGTAGTGGGAGAATTGGAAGTAACGATGGTGGGAAGGTGTCATGGTGGTGGGATTGGTGCCGAAATACTGAATGTAATCACTTAATGTGAACAACCTTATGAAAACAATTTTTTTTGAATGTTGAACACACACACACACACACACAAAGAGTATCAAGGGCAAAAATAAATTTTAGACGCGAGCATGGGAGGCCAGCTTCAGCACCCAGAGCAGGCAAGGGCTCAAGGCAACCCCAAAACAATCACTAGGCAGGAAAATAATGGACAATTGAATTCTTCATAATCCAGTTTTTAAAAAAAACTGATTTCATGGGCCAGAGAAATAGTACAGTGGGGAGGGCATTTGTCTTGCATACAGCTGACCCAGGTTCAATCCCAGAATCCCATATTGTCACGTGAGCCTGCCAGAAGTGATACCAGAGCACAGAGCCAGGAGTGATTCCTGAGCACTGCTGGGTGTGGACCAAAAGCCAAAACAAAGACTAAATTCTGTGGAGAAAATGTTTACTATATATATGCATGACAGAGCTCTCACACCCAGAATATAGGGGTAATTTGTAGAAACCAATGTAAGTCAGATAACCTGATACATGAGAGGACAAAAGATTTAAATGATCACTGCATAAAAAAGAGGCTGGCCAGGGTGATGCACAGTGGGTGAGGCACCTGCCTGCATGCAGCCAACCAGAGTTGAATCCTCAGCACCTCATATGGTGCCAGGAGTGACCTAAGTGCAGAGGCCTGAACACTACTGGGTATGGTCCCCAAAACAAACCAACAAGAAAAGACTATGGAAGCCACTGAAGTACCCATCAAGGCATGATGGGACAAAGGAGGCATGGAGCAGTTACACCTGTGGAATACTACGCAACCATCGAAAGATGAACTGAAACAAAATGGAAGGCGCTCAGGGACAATGGTGTGAAGCAGAGTCATTCAGAAGGAAGACGACGGGTGCTGGATGATTTCAAGTGAGTGTGTAAAAAATGGGGCATTTTAAAAACAATAAAAAAAAAGACACAATAAAACAACAAACCAGAACTCTGATTACCTGAGGGCCAGGGAACAAGGGGAGGCGAGGGGTGTTCTGAGGAAGCCCCGCTGCCGGCACATGCCAGGCCCTCGCAGATGTCCTGTCCTCCCTGTGGACACACTGCACTGACCCTCCCACGCACCAAGCTGCTTCTCCAGCTCAGGGGCCTCGGTCCCTGCCTCTCAGCTCTATGTCGGCACGGGTACTGGTGGTGAGTGGAAAGGGGCTCCCGCCCTCACCCAACGCATCTTTCTTTTGCCCCTAACCAAGTCCTGCTTCTGCTCCTCCCTACAAGCATGGAAATCCCGCACAAGGCGGAGTCCAACAAACTCAGGCTGCCGGGGAGACAGAAGTGAAGGCGGCTCAGGGGCTCACTGCAACTCAGCCTTGCAGTGCTCCCCGGGGTTAGGGGGTGGGGGAAAAGCCATCTTGGGGCCCTGGGGAGGTGGGGAACAAGCACAGCGCTCGAAGCCTCAGAGGGCAGCTTTCTCTGTGAGGTGGGACTGGGGCTGCTGCCCTCTCGCCAGGAGGAGCTGTCCGGGGCTACAGGGCCTCAGCAGGGCAGAAGAGGGGAGGCACCCAGGACCCCGAGGGACCCCAGGAAGGCACTAACCAACCCTGGCAGCAGGGTCCCACTCCACAGTCCTTGGAGGTACAGAAATCCGGCCCAAGAAGCTTGGCCCAGATGTGGCCCCCGGGCTGCCCAGCTCCCGACGGCTCCCCGAATCCCCTCTTGGGCCATTTGTTCCAGCCTGGGGTGGCGGAAGAGAGGGCAGGGATGAATCGGGACCCCAAAGGCAGAAGGTGCCTAAGGCAGCAGCAAAAGACCTGGCGCTCTGAGCCACGGTGGCATGTGGCAGGAAGGACCTCGCTGTGGGTTACGATGACGATGACGAAAGCTGAAAAAAGAGAGAGCGAATCCTCAGGGGGGAGGAGATAAAGAGAAGAAGCGGGCGGGGGCGGGCCATCAACCAAGGCGAAACTAAACCATCCACGCTGGGCCAGGCAGAGGGTCGCCCCCCACGGAGCCCGGGTCACCGACTTGGAGGACAGAGGTGATCGGAGAGGCTTTGGGAGTCAGACTCATCCGGTGGGGACACAGTGGGTGGCCTGAAGCGAAAGGAACCGCCGTCCAGTTCCTGAGCTGCTCCCGCAGAGGCAGTGGGCTTCCGGTGCGGTGACTGCTGACCACGTGTCCCAGAAGGGAACAAGAAAAGACTCGGGGTGGCAGGCAGTCAGGCTTTGGAGGTGGGGGGCCAGGGATGCTGGGTCAGAAGGAGCAGCGCTGACTCCGTCCCTCTTTCTCTTGTCCAGAGAAACACCAGGGTGCCCTGTGCACACTGCAGTTACGCCCCCAGAGGAGGAACTAGAAGACCCTGTGGCCCTCTGCACTTCCTGTGAGGGGGTCTGGCAGCCCAGGCACCAGAGAGCCCCTCCCCCACACATGCAGGCCACACATGTGCGTGTAAGCACACATATACACACACACACTTGCACACCACACACTCACATATTTATACACACATACAACACATTCACACAACACACACAACGCACACACACCACACATACACTCATACAACATATACACACAACACACACAACACACTCACACGTTCATACAACATACACACAACACTCATACAACATATACACACAACACACACACCACACACTCACACGTTCTCACAACATACACATACAACACTCACACTCTCATACAACATATACATACAATACACACACCACTCACACATTCATACAACACACACAACGCACACACACCACATACACTCATACAACATATACATACAACACACATACTACACACTCACACGTTCATACAACATACACATAACACACTCATACAACATATACACACAACACACACACTCATACAACATATACACACAATACACACACACCACTCACACACTCATACAACACACATACAACACTCACACTCACATACCACACATACTCATACACACTCACACACACATACTCACACAACACACACAACATACACACAACACTCACACACTCATACAACACTCACACTCACATACCACGCATACTCATACACACTCACACACACATACTCACACAACACACACAACACACACACTCAAAACACATGTTCACACAACACATACATTCACAACATACACACAATACTCAACACTCACACTCTCACACATGCACACACACACACACACACATATGCATGAACACAAACATATACACACACACACCCCCGCATCCAGATCTGGGCTCCTGCCTCTTTCCTTATCAAGAGGCACCAGGCTCCCTGGGGAAGGGCTGCCCCAGGGCAGGGTCGGGCAGGGACAAGATAAGCTGGGGCAGGCGTTTGTGAGCCAAGCTCCTGAGCTGGGCGGGGCGCAGCAGCGGCGTCTGCCTGCCTCCCTGCCAGGCCTCAGTGCCAGCCAGCAGCTCTTCCTGGACTCGCGCTCGGCGGGGGCGCCCATGTGTGGAGACTGCGGGGCTGGCTCCTCTCTCCCCTGCAGGGCGAAGGACCCGGCCCTGCTCCCTGCCTCTCCATCCCCAGCCTGTCCCGGTACCTTCCTGAGCCTCCTCCCTGCCTGCGTGCTCTCCCGGACCCTCTTCCCAGTTTCTTCTGGAGGACCCTCGAGGTCTCGGGTAAAGGACCTGTTTTCCCACATCAGGGAATTCCTGGAATCAAAGCGGATCTTCCTGGGGTCGGAGCGATAGCACAGCGAGTGGGGCGTTTGCCTTGCACGCAGCCGACCCAGGTTCAGTCCCCGGCATCCCATATGGTCCCCCAGCACCGCCAGGAGGGATTCCTGAGTGAAGAGCCAGGAGTAATCCCTGAGCATCGCTGGGTGAGACCCAAAAAGAAAAAAAAAAAGTGGATCTTCCCAACTCTCGAGAGGACTTTTAGGAAGACGCCATTCCCCGCGGGCCCCACACCACTGAGTCCCTCCAATTCCTCCCCAACCAAGGTCCAGAAGCAATAGGACAGCAGGGAGGGCTGCTGTCTTGCTTGGTACACGGCCAACCCGGGTTCGATCCCCAGCATCCCATATGGTTCTGTGCACCGCCGGGAGTGATCTCTAAGCGCAGGGCCAGGAGTAACCCCTGGGCATTGCCAATGTGACCCAAAACCCAAAAATAAAATAAAAGAAACATGCCAGCCACGTTATCTCATTCTTGCTTTGGACAACCTGGCAGGCTACCGAATGTGACCTGCCCACACGGCAGAGTCTGGCAAACTCCCCGTGGCGTACCCAATATGCCAAATACCAGTAACAATGATGGGTCTCATTCTCCTAACCCAGAAAGAGCCTTGAATGTGGCACTTTTTAGAATCTCAGGGCTAAGACGAAGGAGACGTTACTGGTGCCTGCTCAAGGCAATTGACGAACAACAGGATGATCGTGATCTTGATGCCGGCCAAGACCGATATGCGATTCTGAATTAAACCGTAAACCAGGGCCAGGAAAGGAGCTTTGAAGCAGTGTCTGTGGTTGAATTCTAAGAACCGTCCGGAGAGAGGAGTGTGCTGCATTACTTGCAGGGAGTCTGGCTCTGCTCACGCACCGCGGCCATCCCAGAGAGCGTTCTGGGAAACACAACACAATGCTGGCAGGATGCCTTAAAATTACTCCTAGAGGGGGTCCCTCTTCCATTCCCCCCCCAAAAAAAACCCCAAACCCAGTGCTCTCCACCAGTGAAATGGGTCAAAGACAAACTGAATTTCTTTGTACTATCTTTTTTTTTTCTGTAAGTGTAAAATTATATCAAAATAGGGGCTGGAGCAATAGCACAGCGGGTAGGGCGTTTGCCTTGCACACGGCCAACCCGGGTTTGAATCCCAGCATCCCATATGGTCCCCTGAGCACTGCCAGGAGTAATTCCTGAGTGCAGAGCCAGGAGTAACCCGAGCATCGCCGGGTGTGACCCAAAAAGCAAAAACAAAACAAAACAAAACTATATCAAAATAGAAAGTAACAAACAAACCAAAAAGATTATGGGGCAATAAAGACCTTTTCCCACCATTGACATCTGAGTTGTTGGTGAAGGAAGTACATCAGAGGCACGGGGATGCGGGGGTATAGGGCACATGTGATCAAAGACACCAAGAAGCTCAGCGGGTGCTGGCGCTGGGCTCCCCAGTACCAGCACTCGGCCCGGGAGAGAGCATGGCTGCAGGCTCTGGCCTTGCATACGGCTGACCAAGGCTCGGTTTCCGATACCGCCTATAGTTCCCTGCACATGAGTAGAGACCCCTGCACACAGAGCTAGGAGGAGGCCTCAGTACCACTGCTGTGCCCCCCAAAACCATATGAATAATGGAAGTCACAGTGCTCCCATTGTTCATCAATTTGCTCGAGCAGGTGCAGTAACGTCTCCATCGTGAGACTTGTTGTTGCTGTGTTTGGCATATCAAACACGTCACGGGGAGCTTGCCAGGCTTTTTATCGTGCGGGGGGGGGGGGGGGGAATACTCTCAGTAGCTTGCCGGGCTCTCCGATAGGGGTGGAGGAATCAAACCCGGCTCAGTCGGGCCAGGTGCACGCAAGGCAAATGCCCTACCGCTGTGTTATTGCTCCAGCCCATGAATAATGATAATAACCAATATTCAGCATCCCTAATCATCAAAGAAACACGTTCAGACCACAGAGACGCGCGCTCAGAGAGTGGGGAGGCTGCCAGCCGGCAGACAGACAGGGAGGGAGGGAGCGAGGGGAGCCGGCTAACGGCACAGACGTCCAGCTTGGAAGGCGAAAAGGTCTTGGAGATCTGTTTCATGAAAAATATTAACGTGGGGTCAGAGTCACAGCACAGGGGAGGGTGTCTGCCGTGCACGCAGTCAACCTGGGTTTGATCCTGGGCATCCTACAGGGTCCCCCGGACACCGCCAGGAGTGAACCCTGAGCACCATGAGGTGTGTCCCAAGAGCAAAAGAAGAAGGGAAGAGGGGAGAGGGGGGAGGAGAGATGAGGAGGAGGAGGGGGAGGAGGGGAAGAGGGGAAGAGGGAAAGAAGAGAGGAGAGAAGAGAGAAAAGAAGAGGAAGAGGAGAAAGAGGAAGAGGAGGAGGAGAGGAGGAGGAGGGGAGGAGGAGGGAGAAAGATGAGGAGGAGGAGGAGGGGAGGAGGATGGAGGAAGATGAGGAGGGAAGAGGAGGAAGAGGAGGAGAGGAGAGGAGGAGAGGAGGGAGGAAGATGAGGAAGAGGAGGAGAATGAGGAGGAGGAGAAGGGAGGAAGACAAGGAGGAGGAGGAGGAGAATAGGGAGGAGGAGAAGGAGGGAAAGGAGGAGGAGGAAGAAGACGAAGAGGAGAAAGGAGGAGAGGAGGGGGAGGAAGATGAGGAGGAGGAGGAGAATGAGGAGGAAGAGGAGGAGGAGGGAAGAGGAGGAGGAGAGGAGGAAGAAAAGGAGGAGAGGAGAGGAGGAGGAGGAGAGGAGGAGGAGGAGGCGGAGGCGGCAGAGGAGGAGGAGGAGGGAGGAAGACCAGGAGAAGGAGGAGAAAAGAGGAGGAGGAGATGGTGCTGGAGGAAGCCTCAGGCGGGGGGGGGGGGGGGTACAGCGGAGAGAGGGGCTCCCTGCCATGTCCCACTGCAGGTGGACACCAGCCCCCCTGTCTCCCTGAGCATCGGTCCAGCTGTGCCCAGGGGAAGAAGGAATTCTCCGATAAAAGGAATTCTCCAGCCCTGGCTCAGAAGCCCAGTCAACAGAGGCTTAAGGCGCGAAGGCACACTAGCGGCTGGCTGGGGAGAGAGCAAAGCAGTGCTGACGGTGGGGGTCCCGACCCGGGACCCACAAAACCCAGCTCCCCTCCCACCCGAGCAGAGGGGCAGGAACCAGGAGCCCCGCCCGCCCACCACACTCACGCAGTCCAGGTTCTCCGTCATGTTGAGGATGATGTAGTTCCTCCCTGCCAGGTTGCTCCAGTCTTTGCAGATCACCTGGACACAAGACAGATGGGACAGGCAGGGCAGCGCGGTGCCTGCCAAGGCCCAAGGCGGGGCCTGACTCAGGCCTGGGGGTGGCTGACGGCCTCAGGGGATGGCACACACCCACCATCCAGGCCCGTCTCACTCCTGGGGGTCTCGAGGGCCCCAGGCAGAGGACCCCTGGAGCTCAGGGAGCCGTGTAAAGGGGTGCGGCTGTTGGGGGCCCCCAACTTGGCCGGGGTGGGCTTCCCTTCCTCTCCTACTGGTGCTCTTGAGGGTATAGACGCCGACATGGATGGGGGTTGGGGGTGCATGGGGCAGTGCGAGCCCGGGTCTGGCCCGATGCAGCCAGGGCTCTGCTTACCCAAGGCCTGAGCTTCACACTGATGGCGGCAAGGCCACCGCACCCTGCAGGCACCTCACCCTGGAGGCACCGCACCCCTGCCGGCTTCCCCGGGCCCCAGACCCTGGCCTGCCGCCCCTTACCTGAGTGGAATCCCAGGGCATGCTGGAGCGAGCTTCTGTGGCCACGTCGTCGTCATCTTCATCATTGTCATCGTCAGGGGCCTGGTGTCCGAGGTGGTCCCACCCCAGGGGAACGGTGGAGGCGGCCGGTTCCAGGTCTTGGGGAGTCGGTGGGGGGGGAGGCCGAGACCCCAGGATGCAGGGGGTCCGGGCTGGGGGCCCGGCTGGGAGCCTCAGTGTGAGGCGAGGAAGCCCAGGCCGGGCCCTCATCCCACACGCTGGTCGGGCCTGCTGCCCCCACGGTGGCCTCGGGCTGCCCCCCGTGGCCCTCCCGGCTACTGGAGTCCGGTGCTCCCGGAGACTCGGCGCTTGGGGCGGCCGAGGGCGGCAGCAGGTGGGGGGCCACGGTGCTCCCCACCTCCACCCCCGAGGAGGCCGGGTCCCCAGAATCTTCCGGCCTGTGTTTGGGGGGGCGCAGGGGTGAGGCTGCTACTGGTGGGGGAGAACGTGTGGGCCTGAGTTTGGGCTTCTCCGTGGGGTCCCTTCACAGACAGCAGCCCCTCCTCCTCCTCCTCCTCCTCCTCTCCCTCCTCCTCCTCTTCCTCCTTCTCCTCCTCTTCTTCTTCCTTCTCAGCCTCCTCCTTCTCCTGCTCCTCTTCCTCTTCCTCCTCCTCCTCTTCTTCCTCCTCCTCCTCCTCCTCTTCGGGACCCATATTCCAGGGGGGCTCCACCAGGTTCATCTTGGGCAGGGGGGAGGGGAGGCTGGGCCCCTCCTGGCCCTGACTGGCGTCTTCTATGGGACCCGCCTTCTCCGTCAAGTCTGGGAAGCCGTAGTCTGCAGACAGAGATGGAAAGTTCCTTCCACGCTTCCGTTCCGTGAGAGAGGGAAGAAGGGATAAAGGAAGGGAGGGAGAGAGAGAGAGGAAGGAAGAAAGGAGGGAGGGAGGCCACAGGGAAGTACTTATGACAAAAAGGACACCCACTGTTACTTCCTGCCGAGTGTGGGGCACAGAGCAGGTCTCTCAGGGAGACCCGGCCCAGAAGAACAAAGCAAGCTGCGAACCCTGTGAGGGGCACTGGGGAGACGTCCTGCAGACTTCCTGCAAGCCTGCAGAAATGTCTGGAAAATAAGCAGCTGCAGACAGCATGCGGGATCCCTTTCACAGCTGGGAGTTTTGGCACTGGGCACTGGAAGGAGGGGAGGGGGGAGACGAGGAAGGAGGCACAGTGAACAGAATACAAAGACAATCTACAGAATGGGAAAGGATATTCACCCAATACCCACCCATTAAGGGGTTGATATCAAGGATATCCAAAGCACTGGTTGAACTCCACAAGAAGAAAACATCCAACCCCATCAAAAAATGGGGTGATGAAATGAACAGAAACTTTCTCGAAGAAGAAACACGAATGGCAAAAAGGCACATGAGAAAATGCTCCACATCACTAATCATCAGGGAGATGCAGATCAAAACCACAATGAGATATCATCTCACACCACAGAGACTGGCCCACATCCACAAGAATAAAAGCAACTGGTGCTGGCGCGGATGTGGCGAGAAAGGGACCCTCCTTCACTGCTGGTGGGAATGCCGACTGGTTCAGCCCTTTTGGAAAACAGTATGGACGATTCTCAAAAAATTAGAAATTGAGCTCCCATTTGACCCAGCAATACCACTCCTGGGAATATATCCCGGAGAGGCAGAAAAAGTACAGCCGAAATGACATCTGCACTTCTATGTTCATTGCTGCACTGTTCACAATAGCCAAAAACTGGAAAAAACCCAAGTGCCTGCGAACAGATGACTGGTTAAAGAAACTTAGGCACATCTACACAAGGGAGTACTATGCAGCTGTTAGAAAAAAATCGGGGCTTGGGCGGGCCTTCGGAGGGGAAAGGGGAGCTCTGGACACTGGTGCCAGAGAGAGCAGGACCCGCAGGAGGAAGAGAGGAGAGACAGAGGAGGAGTGAGGAGAGGAGGGGAGGAGAGAGAAGGGGAGGAAAGAGGAGGGGAGGAGTCAGGAAAGGGGAGAGATGTCTCCCAGCATGGAAGCGAAGGAAGGTCTACACTGCGAGGGACCTCAGTGGGCAGTCGGGCACTCGCCTCCCTGTCCCAGAGATGCCAGGCGACCCCAGGAACCCCCCCAAACTAAACTGAAATAAAAAAAACGGGATTCAGTGGCCCCAGAAAGCCAAGCAGGCTTGAGCCTAGGCTTTGCCTGTGGAGGTCCGGCTCCCTCCCCTGAGCACTGAACCATTCTATGCTTGAGTGCAAAGTGCCTTGAGCCCAAGCCGTCATCCCCTCTCTGCTAATGGTTCCTTGATTCCTTCGCAGGGGCACTCCTCCCCCCCCCCAGGGGGTCCAGAGGCATGGGGGCTTAGGGGACCTTGAGATCTAGTCTTGACCAGACTATGACCTTGGTCAACCCTGGTCTGGAGGTCTGGAGATGGTTTCATCTGTGCGGATCAGACGACTAAGCTGATCCAGAGAAGTTTCTGGAAGTACCAGAACAGCAACTTGTGCTCTCCACTGGGGAAAGAGGTGGGAAGGGTGAGTTCCTGGGGCTCTAGAAGCCACCGTACCTGGAAGAGCCCGAGAAGACCCCAGCAGGGGACCAGGGGCAGCTGAGGGACTGAGCAACAGGATGGCAGGGAGGGTACCTGCCCTGCATCAATCCCGAGTCCTGCCAGGAGTGATCCGTGATGAGCACAGAGCCAGGAGTAAGCCCTGAGCACAGTCAGGTGTGACCCAAAAAAGGTAGAAAACAAACACCGACCCCTCCCCCAACGTTCTGGGCTGGAAAATCTTTGGCTGGTCTTTGCGTTACTGACCCAAGAAACGGCAACTTACACACAGGCCTGAGATCCTGGGCTTTGGGGCCAAAAAAAAAAAAAAAAAGAAAAGAAAAGAATCAGAAGAAACAACCTGACAGAGGCAAGGTGACTCAGACACAACAGAGCTTCCCACTGTCCCCGGGACGTCCCCAAGCCGTGTGACAGCACCAGCCAAGGCTTTGGGTGGGCCCTGCTCATGGCCCACTCACCAGCCCTTCTCCGACCGCCCCAGTTCCCACTCGCTCACTGGTCACCGGGGATATGGTGATGTACAGAACGTTCTCCATGAGGCACAGGGAGATGAAGCCCCCGATGGGGGCCTGGCCCGTGGGCGCTGCTGTCCTCAGACTCGGGGACAGTTCCCGGCTGGGGTGTCCTGGGCAGCTCCTCGCCAGGCAGACCCTCAGAAGGCTCCTGGGCACCTGGAAACTCCAAGCTGCAACCGCCTCCCCCCTGCGCAGAGCCCCCCCAGCTGGTGAAGTCTGGCATCACAGGGCAGGGGCACAGAGGGCAGCAGGGAGTGCCACCCACCACCCCGCGCCCGGGACAGCTGTCTGATCCCCGCCTCCCCACACCCTCGAGGAGGCAAAAGTCGAAGACAGCTGGGGTGTGTCTGGGTCACACAGATGTTGCTCTCCGCCTGCTGCTGCTGCCTAACCCCATGGTGCATGGATCAGCAGTGATCTGGTGCTGGGTGGGGGACATCATTCCCTGTTGCCAGCTCGGCAAGATGTGACAGGGCTCCCCAGCGGTCCTGCTTGCTGGCAGGGCCAGAAATGGCCTTTGGAATCCCGTCTTCCTTCTGAAGTGCTGGAGGAAGACCCAAAGCCCACGAGACACGGGGGAGGAGGAGAGACCCCAGCCAGCAGGAGGGCGGCAGGCGTGCCTGGCAGCGCAAACGGGCCACTATTCCGTCACGGGATCCCCAATCCCAAGGGTGTGGACGGGACACGCTGGGCCTGGACCATTGTGGCACTTCCGGCTGGGCCCAGACACTCCTGGTTTGTAGCCTGGGCTGCCCAGGGCCGAAACTGAGCCGTGGGAAGGGGAAGGGACCTAGGGAAGAGCAAGAAGGGACCTGGGTGGAAAAAAAACAAAACATTCCCTCCTCCATTTCCTCTGCATCCTCCCATCCCTGGGGGCCCCTGCCTGGGGTCCCCGCCTTTAGCTACTCAGGTCTGTGTGGCAGAGATAGGGAGTGGGACCCCCCAGTGGCATGGGGGAGAAGAGGAGGAGAAGGAGGAGGAGGAAGGGGTGCAGCCTGTGTCCGCCAGCTCATGAGTACCGGCAGCTGGATGGTGACTCAGTGAGGCGAGTCCCCGTGAGTCAGAGACGTGGAGAAGCCAGAGGAGGAGAGAGCAGGAGGGACCCGGAGAGAGGAATGAGCCCAGATAGCACAGGGTCCTCAGCGTGGAGTGGCCCCGCCACATCCACGGTGGTCCTGAGGATAGCCTGGGGTAGCTGAGGGACTCAAGATGCGGTCTCTGGACAAAGGGAAAGGCCAGGGAACCCCGAGTCCATCTCAGAACTCGTACCATAGAGAGGCGGCCCAGGGGGAGACAGTTGATTCCTGTCTCCCCGTGAGCCCTCCCCCGACCAAAAAAATTAAAAATTAAAAAAAAAAACAAATTATACTTAGAATGAGGAATTCAACAATAGTAAGCTCACGCAAGGTGCACTGAGCTCAGGAAGGGAAAGGCCTAAATAGAAAGCAAATAGAAATACCAAGGGTGGGGGGCTGGAGAGATAGCACAGCGAGGAGGGCGTTTGCCTTGCACGCGGCCGACCTGGGTTCGATTCCCAGCATCCCATAGGGTCCCCTGAGCACTGCCAGGGGTCATTCCTGAGTGCAGAGCCAGGAGGAACCCCTGAACATCGCCGGATGTGACCCAAAAAGAAAAAAAATTCAAAGGGGGCGGGTGGGATAATCCAGCTGGGAAAATGCCGGCCTTGCACATGGCAGACCTGGACTCCAGCCCTGGTACCCCATGGGGTCTCTTGCGCCCTGCCAGGGGTGATCCCTGAGCACCACCAGGTATGCCCCCCACCCAAAGTCAAAGAACCTGTAGCAGGGATGTGCAGGGATGTGCACACACACAGCTGTATGGCGAGGACGTATATATCGGTGGAAAGTAAAACTTAACTGTTTTTTTTTTGGATTTTGGGTCACTCCCTGTGAGTGATGCTCCAGGGACCATGCAGTGTTGCAGATTACACCTGGGGCTCCCAACACACACATACACATACTCTCTCTCTCTCTCTCTCTCTCTCTGTCTCTCTCTCTCTCTCCCGTCCTTTCAGCCATCCCCAACCCCAACCCCAACTCTCTGTACACCAGTAAAACTGACCAGGTGTCAGAGGCCATGATCATCTTGCCTCTCAAACTGACCAAGATTTTTTTTGGGGGGTGGGGTGGGGAGGGGAGTTAGGCCACACTGGCGGTGTTCGGGGCTTACTTCTGGCTCTGTGCTCAGGGATCACTCCCGGAAGGCTCAGGGGACCGTATGGGATGCCGGGGATCGAAACCAGGTTGGCCGTGTGCCAGCCAAGCGTGCTAACCACTGGACTATCTTTCCGGCCCCCAGTTCCGTACCATCATGCCGCCAGACATGCTCCCACTTTCACCGTCTGACACTGGAAACGGGGCTGGAAGCCAGTGGCAGGTGCGTGCCCTCTCGCTTATGGACGTAGTCCGGTCGTGGCCTGTGCTGAGTGCCAGGCCGCAGGCCCCATCTCCATACCAGAACCCAGAAACCAGCCCTGGGGTCTGGCCGGGAATGGCAGACAGAAGGCCCTGGGGTGGGGGGTGAGGGCAATGGGGTCAGTGGCTCTTGAGGAGACGCCTTGTCAAACGGAGGCTCAGGGAAAGCCCTGACCGTGCAGAGACCCAGCTCTGGGTCCCTGGTAGAGGAGTCAGTCTGGTGGTGGCCTTGGATGGCCGGGTAGCCACCAGGCCTCCACTTCCTTACGCCTGAAACAGGGGGGGCGGGGGGTGTCAGTCTCCGGCTGCTCACAGACCAGATGAGGGGGAGTCGGCGTGAGCACAGGCAACAGAGAGCGTGACAGAGAATGGCTTTTGGGGTGAAGGGACACTCAGGCCCGGTGGGCTGGCCCTGGGCGGGCGGGGTGCGGGGGACCTGAAGGGGAGGCCATGGTGGAAGCTGGAGGGATGTGAGGAGGGCCGAGGCCCGCACGTACCTGCAGTGGGGCCCAGGTCCAGGCTGGACTCGTTCAGCTCTTCCTCCTCCACCCAGAAGTACTGCGGCGGCTGCAGGATGCGGGACTCATCGCTCTCCTCGCTGGGGAAGCCAGAGCCGGCCGCACCCAGGCCCGCCCCCAGGCCCCGGGCCTCGCTCGGCTCCTCCGAGTCCAGCGGCTCCAGGCCGGTGGGCAGCAGGAGGTCCAGCAGGGAGGTGGACGTGAGGCCCTCGGGGCCCGGCTCCTCTGCTCCGGCCACACACAGGCCCAGGAGTGCTCCTGCACAGGAGAAAGGCGGAGAGGGTCACCGGGCAGGAAGGACAGGCCAGTGCAAGGCAAAATGCGGACCCTACAACTAAGAACGTTGTCGGGGGGCACAGGCTTGGGGTGACTCCTGGGGCCCCCCGAGACGGTCGGCCGGGGGGCTGCGGAGCTGCTGTTCTCCTACCAAAAGTCCAAAGGTGGGGGGGTGGCTCGGGGCGGGAGAGGGGGATGCGGACTGCAGAGACGGGGACACGTGAGCACTGGTCCCCTCCGACACACAAGCGTGGGACCCCACGCCACAACACTTCGGTGCTAGGGGCCAGGGGGGCACAAGTGGGGGTTTCTGCTTCTGCAGGCCCAACGTCCCCCGCGGTGTTATTCCAGGCTGCCGCTTTCCCAAAGCTGCATCAGGAGCACGGGAACTTTTTTTTTTTTTTAATTGTATTGGATCACCGTGAGATAGTTATAAGCTTTCATGTTTAGGTTCACTTCACTTAATCACTTGACATCCCGTTACTCATTGATTTGCCCAAGCAGGCGACAGTAACGTCTCCATTCATCCCTGTTGCGTGCTGATGTAGCCCAATGGCGTGTGCTCGCTCCAGGAACACGAACAGCCTCACACCGATCGTTCAGGGTCTTTTTTTTTTGCTTTTTGGGTCACACCCAGCGATGCACAGGGGTTACTCCTGGCTCTGCACTCAGGAGTTACTCCTGGCGGTGCTCAGGGGACCATATGGGATGCTGGGAATCGAACCCGGGTCGGCCGTGTGCAAGGCAAATGCCCTACCCACTGTGCTATCTCTCCAGCCCCTCGTTCAGGGTCTTGACGAAGAAGTCTGACCATCTCATAGGTGGACAGCCACATGAACTTTTGAAGTCCCGTGGAATCACACAATGATCAAACACCCATCGCTCCAGCAGCGAACTTTCCCCACCACCCATATCCCTGGTATACCCCCCCTTACCCACCCTCCCCCTGCCTCCAGGGCAGACATGATTCCCCATAAACTCTCTCTACTTTTGGGCATTATGGCTTGCAATACAGACTCTGAGAGGTTATCATGTTTGATCCTTTATCCACTTTCTGCACACATCTCCCATCCCGACCGATTCCTCCAGCCATCTTTTTCTTAGTGACCCCTTCTCTATTCCAGCTGCCTTCTCCCCTTTGCTCACGAGGCTGCCTTCCAGCTAGGGAGCAATCTACCTGCCCCGTGTATCTACTATCCTTGGGTGTCAGCCTCATGCTCTGTTGTTCGATACTCCACAACTGAGTGCAGTCCTTCTATGTCTGTCCCTCCCTTTCTGACTCATTTCACTGAGCGTGATACTCTCCATGTCTATCCATTTATAAGCAAAGTTCATGACTTCATCTCTCCTGACAGCTGCATAGTATTCCACTGTGTAGATGTACCAAAGTTTCTTTAACCAGTCATCTCCTCTAGGGCACTTGGGTTGTTTCCAGATTTTGGCTACTGTGAACAGTGCTGCAATGAACATATAGGTACAGATGTCATTTCTCCTGGGGCATGGGAACGTTTAAGACATGCGGCAGCCCCAATGCTGTCTCTTCTTTCCCCGTGGATTCCGGGATATACCTGGCAGTGTTCAGAGCTGATCCCTGGCTCTGTGCTCTGGTTATGCTCGGGGGACAGGATGTAGTGCCAGTTGATCAAACCGGGGTCTGCCATGTGCATTGCAAGTGCCCTACCCTCTGCACTACCTCTCTGGTCCCTGAATACAGTCTTTGTTGTTGTTGTTATTGTTGTTGTTGTTGTTGTTGACACCCCGTGATGCTCAGGGGTTCCTTCGGACTCTGCCCTTGCAAATACTCCTGGCCGGCGGTGCTCGGCGGATGATGTGGGGCACTGGGGATAGAACCCAGATCGGCCCCGTGCAAGGCAAGCAACCGACCCGCTATACTCTGCTCTGGACCCTGAATGCCATCTTTATTCTAAGCTTTCCCCCTCCCCCTTTTTTGGGTCACAAAGGCGATGCTCAGGGGTGACTCCTGGCTCTACACTCAGGAATTACTCCTGGCAGTGCTCGGGGGACCCTATGGGATGCTGGGAATCAAACCCGGGTCGGCTGCATGCAGGGTACATGCCCTACCCCGCTGTGCTCGTGCTCCAGCCCCTGAATGCCATCTTTAGAAAACCATCTGAAGGTGCCACCCAAGCTCACCCAGTGCGGGTAAGGTCTCTTCATTTCTCCAAACCACCAGTTCAAGGGCAAACCCTTCCGATGCTCCCCAGATCATCCACCAAGAACAGGAACCCACCGCCCTCCTGGCCAGGACCGCCACTCAGTTCCAGACACCTGACTGACTGGCTCTTCTCCTGAGAGCAGCCCGGGTTTCAATCTCCTCGTCTGAAATGACCTCCCATCCCAAGGTTTTCCTCAAAGTAGCCAGGAAGCAGGAATTCCAGGAATCATTTCTGGTCCATCGCCGTGAGGCGTGAGGACCTGACGCTATTGGTGCCACGTGTGCTGCAGGGGTCTCTGAGTTTTAATATCTACACTGAACTCAGGCTGCAGCACAGCGACTGGCTACTGAGGCCAGAGAGACAGGACAGTGGGTAGGGCATCTGCCTTGCACGTGACAGGTTGGCCAGGGGTTCAATCCCTGATACCCCGTCTGGTCCCCTAAGCCTTGTCAGGAGTGATCACGAACACAGAGCTAGGAGTAAGCCCTGACCACCACTGGGTATGTCCTAAAACAAAACAAAACAAAACAAAACAAAAAACATGAAAAGGAGCATTTGAGGGCTGGAGTGATAGCAGAGAGTAGGGCGTTTGCCTTGCATGCGGCCAATCCAGGTTCAATTCCCAGCATCTCATATGGTCCCCCGAGCACTGCCAGGAGTAATACCTGAGTGCATGAACCAGGAGTAACCCCTGTGCATTACCAGGTGTGACCCAAAAAGAAAAAAAAGAGAAAAAGGAGCATTTATTTCTGATTGTTCCCTGGGACCCAGAGCCGCAAAAGGGGCAGCTGGGAATGGAGTTGGGGGCATGTGATTGCCATATGCTTTGTTCCAGTGTGACCACACAGGCCCAGGGCACAGGGCAGTGGGCACAGAGCGGAGAGCAGAGGTATACAGAGAAAGCCTGGGCTCACCTGGGCCCGTCCACGTCCCGTCTTCTCCGAGGAGCTTCCCTGGGCGTCTGGGAAGCGGCCAGGCCCCCGGCCACCCTGTCACACACTCTGCCCTCACACAGGGCAGCCACTACACCACCCTCACCAGGGCGCCCTCATCCCTTCTGGGACTGCGCCACCAAGGGCACGGGGTGTGTCCCCGAACACCCCGTTGGCTTGGCCATTGCGGCTCCTCTCCAGGTTCCGAACTAGAACGCTGATTGTCTCTGGGACATGTTTGAATCACTAACCGGATGACTAAGCAGAAGGTGATTGGGCTGAAACTTTCTTGAAAGTAAAATAATGGAGCAGGTGGAGAATAAGGTCCATCAGCATTGTTCATCGAGTGCTAGTCCATGCATGGAGAGCCACAAGGGGCTGGGTGGTCCTACAAAATGGCCTTTCAGGTGGGGGGGTCGGAGTGATGGGACAGGGGCTTAGACACTAGGCCTTACAGGCGACCAACCCCGGCTCAATCCCAGCACTACACAGAGCACCCGGACATCACTAGGTGCAGTTGCAGAGACTGCCAAGCACTGCCAGTGTTCCTGTCCCAGAGGGTGTGTCTGACAGGACAGCGAGGAGGCCGCTTGCCTTGCACATGGCCAACCCCTGGCATCCCATATGGTCCCCTGAGTACCACCAGGAGTGATTCCTGAGCACAAAGCCAGGATGATTCCCTGAGAATCACCAGATGTGCCCCTCCCCCCCACAACCCCCCCAAAAAATAACCCAAATCACACAAAGGGAAAGAGTGTCTCTAAGCGAGCATGAATATTCATGCACTGATTACAGAGCCCAGAAGCCAGAGTTGAGGACTATAAGGGAGCACCTCCCCCTCCACCACACACACACCTGCTTCCTTCCAGCCAACCCAAGGTCCCAGGCAAGTCCCATGTGGCTCTCGAATCTCCCTCACCAAAAGCATTGCACACCAAGAATGCTTGATTGACGCTTCTGCCTGGGTGCTACGTTCAGAAATACTTCCTTGACAAACCGCACCCATTTCATGAACGTCAGCCTCGAATTTTCTCAGAATAAAAATAATATTCACCTCCAAGCACAGGATCAGGAGTAAGTAGCCACACATCCCCGGCACTGCCGGGTGTGCACCCCAAAACAACGCACAAATTGAATTAAGGAAGCATTATTGGGGGTCAGAGGGAGGACTCAGAGGGAATGGAGTGTCTGTTCTGCATGTTGGGGACTCAGGTTCCATCCCCAGCACCCCAAGGCCCACCCAGCCCCACTGGGGAGGGAACCCCCATAGCCCTGAGCTGGTAGTTGCTCCAGTACACTGGTGGATGAGTCACGCCTGCCCCCCGAAATAAAAAGTCTCCCAGATTCAGTCTCTAGCACTGCAGGGTCCCACAGGCTCTGCCCGGTGTGAGCCAGCCCGACCTTAAGGGCTGGAGCATCTCTGGGCACTCCCATGGCATGCAGGGCCCAAAGAAGAAAGTCGGAAAGTTCTCGGCAGAATGGCCCTACGGAAGCCCTGCGGGACCACACTAGCGTCGCTGCTTCCCACCCTGGGAGCTGGCTCCATCAAGGGGCTCAGCCAGGGAGGGACCGCACAGGCTGGCACCCAGGATAGCCTGGACCTGGGGGGGAACCGGGACTACCCTCTCGAGAAGTCTCACCAGGAGTACAGTGGGCGCCCCTCTCTCGGGGACCAACATCTGAGGCAGGGAAGTTCTCCAAGAAAAAGACAAGGGGGTGCTAGAGTGATAGCACAGCGGGTAGGGCGTTTGCCTTGCACACAGCTGACCTGGGTTCGATTCCCAGCATCCCATATGGTCCCCCGAGCACCGCCAGGAGTAATTCCTCCGCGCAGAGCCAGGGATAAGCCCTGTGCATCGCTGGGTGTGACCCAAAAAGAAAAAAAAAAAGACAAGGGGCCATGAATCCCAGGGTCCAGCTTCTAACCCCATGGCTGGGGGAGTCCCCAGAGCCCAGTCAGAGCCCAGTCTCCCCACGCACTGGCACGAGAACACCTCCCTGATGCCCTCCTTCCCCACGGACTGATGGAGCCTGGGCGCCTCCAAAAAGCTATGTGGATAAAGGGATGGGGGGTGTGTCTCTTCCTTTTCTAATTTTTTTTCTGGGGGGGGGGGGGACACCTGGCAGTGCTCAGGGGTTGCTCCTGGCTCTGCACTCAATGATCACTCCTGGAGGGGATCATCGGGTGACCATATGGGGGGCCAGGGATCAAGCCGAGGGCTGGCTGCGTGCCAGATGAGGGCCCTCCCCGCTCCGCCACGGGTCCAGCCCCCACTGCCTTTTCTTGCCTCCGCCAGGAAACAGTTCCACTCCCCTGAAGTTTTTTTTCCCTTCGACGATGATGATTTGTGTCCCTTATTTAGAGCCTGATACTTTCCAAGGCCTTGACAATGGGTAATTATTTAGGTGACTACAAAAGGTTGCTTATTTTCAAACGTGGCCACGGAAATAGTAGCTGAAACGTAACCGCTGGGTACCATTATTTTTTGCCCTTAATGATGAATCTGCCTTCACTGAGACCCCAGTGGAGTCCCGGCTTCAGACCGCATGCTCCATCTGACCTAGTTTCTCTTTCTCGCTCTCTCCCTTGTAATTTGCTTTTACTTCATTAACTCTGGGAGAGGGAGAAGGAGAGGGAGAGGGAGAGAGAGGGGGAGTGGGAGGGGGAGAGAGAGGGAGGGAGAGAGAGACCAGAAAAGGACTAAAGGACTCAGGCAGCAGCTTCAAAGAAAGGAAGATCCGACCCCAAAAATCTCCAGAGAAAAAAGGCCAACAAACCGGTTAAGGGGGGAAGGGGGGCTCTGGAGCCCCCACATCTCTCCCTCCTGCAGTTGGCCGCCTCCAGCCCCACCCCCTCCCCCTAATCTGCAGCTCTGAAGTCCAGATCTCCCTAAAGCCCCGCCAGACACCAATCCCCACAGCATCTGCCACGCATCCCCACGCCCGAGCCGGCAGCTACAACAAAAGTCGTCTCGCACCGCCGCGGCCCCGCAGATGCGTGTGCGCATGCGCACACACATTCTCTCACACACGCAAGCACACACGCACACACTCGCATGTACACACATGCGCGCGCACACACAGGCACGCACACACAATCACGCGTGCACACTCACACGTGCACAGACGCGCACACACATACACTCATGCACACACAGACACACGAACACACGTGCATGCACACTCACGCGTGCACACACATACAAACGCGCATGCACACACATTCCCGGGGGAGGGGGAGGGGTGCCCGTACAACACAGATGTGTCTTTGTCGAGTTTTCAAGCAAAGACGCAAGTGAAGGAGCCTCTGGACCAGCCGTCTGTCCACCTTCCAGGCAGCGCTGGGTCAGGGTGCCAGGGAGGAGGCGGGGAGGGCAGCGTCCCTGCTGGGGTCCCCACAGACTCCGCCAGCAAGTCCTGGAGCAGCTGTCACACAAAGAACTAGTCGCTGATCAATATTTCATTGCGGAGTGAGTGTCTGCACCCCTGGGAATCCAGGACAGGCACAGGCCCTCCTCAGTCCCGGGCTGAAGCGAGCCCCTCTGCACCCGCCTTCCCTGGCGGGGGTCATGCACTAGAGCACGTGGGCCTCTTCCGAGGGGGGGGGGGGTCGCCCTGTCTCTGCGGTCCCAGGGCAGCCCACTCTCCCGCTGCCCCTACCCAAAGGCAGGCTCTCTCCTCCCCTCCTCCCACGCGGGTGCACACCACGTGCCCTGGGCCGCACGAACGCACGCTTGCTCCTCCCCACACCTGCACACGTGCGCCCACGCGCCCACCGCATCCCTGGCACCCCCCGTCTCCGCTGCCACCAGGACCCAGACACACCTTCATCAGCACTCGGGGCACGCACCCCGCCCCCACGTGGAGCGGCTGTCCCTTTCCGGGCCCACCGTGTCCTTAGGTGACCCGCCCCTCGCAGGCAGACAGTCCCCAGTACCTGCCCCCAACCCCCTACCCTGCGTCGGCCACTCGGGTGGGGGGTGGGCGCGCCGGCAGACTCCGGCCCCTTCTGGCCCAGGCACGTCCGCGTGGCACGCGCCAGCCCGCACCAGCCCCCGGAGCGTCATCACGCACATCCCTGGCGGTGCCCGCGGGCAGCTGAAGGCCCGTGCCCTTGTGCGGGTTGTGCGTGGGTGGGGGCCACCAGGCAGGGTCCCGGTGGCCCAAACCTCCTTCTCCTCCTCCTCTTCTTCCTCCCTCACCGTCTGCCCGGGCACCTCTGGGCTCCGGCCAGCGGCTAATAAAAGTTGCCCGTGCAGCCTGACAGACGCACCCCGCCCCCCTGGCACGGCGCAAACACACCCCCCCGCTGTCGCAGCAGCCCGGGGACCGGCTCTTGGGCAGCCCCGCCGCCACGGGACCTCTGGAAGCTGCTCCTCTCCAGCCTCGGGGGGTGCAGGGGGTCCAGGGCGGGGTCCCCGCGGTCCCCCCCCCCCACGCAGCCTCCGGGCAGATGCCCAGCGTGCGTGCGCGCGCGCGTGTGTGTGTTGGTGTGTGTGCATATGCGTGTGTGTGTACGAGTGTGTGTGTGTGCCCGCGCCGTGCAACCCCGCACACCGCCCGGGACGGCGCCGCAGCGCTGCCTGCCCCGCGCGCCCGCGCCCCGCGCGCCCGCCCCTTTGTTGGCGGCCCGGGAGCTGTCCAGCACCGCGGCCCGCCCGCCGACCGCCGCCGCCGCCTCTGCCCGCCGCCCAGGCCCGGGCCCGGCGCGCGCCTCCCCGGCCCGGCCCGGCGCGCACTCACCCCCGGCCAGCAGGAGCAGCAGCGGCGGCCGCAGCGCCCGCAGCAACCGGCCCATGGTGCAGCCGTCGCCGCCCGCAGCCGCAGCGGCGCGGCGCCTCGGCCGGCGTCAGGGGCCGCGCGGGCGGCGGCGGCGGCGCGCGCTCGCCCCATTGGCCCAGGCCGCCGTCACTCGCGCCCGGGGCCCGCCCGTCCGCGTGCCGCGGGCGCGCCCCCGCGGAGACGAGGCGGGCGCGCGGGCGGCGGCCCCTCCGCCCACAGAACCCCCCCGCGCCCACCCGCCAATCAGCGGCGAGGAGGCCCGGGGGGGCGTGGCCGCGCCGGCGGCCGCCTAAAGTCGGGGCCTCACACCTCGCCGCGGCGCCCCGATCCCGCGCGCGCTCGCGCGTCCTGTGTGCCCACCGAGAGGCCGTGGGGGGTCAGCTGCACCGCAGGAGGCGGGCCGCGCCGAGGGCGCACAGCGGGATGTGGCCAGGGCCCACGAAGGACCGTCTGTGCCCGTGCCCGTCCGCTATCCAGCCAGCCAGGCCGGGGACGTGGTGGGCTCTCCCCGGTGGGTTGAGGACCGGCCAAAGGCTTCTCCGGGACACTGCGGCTGTGCCCGGGCTCTGGGCCAGGAGGGAGCCAGGAACCAGCCTGAAGAGTCCCGGAGCGCAGGGCATCACATTGAGTCACTGGGCGAAGCTCGGCTCACCTCCAGCCCTGCTGCCTTCCCTGGTTAAACGGGGCTGGAGAGATGGTACCGCGGGGACAGCGCTTGCCTTGCACACGGGTGACCTGGGTGCGATCCCCCCAGCGTCCAGGTCCTCCGAGCACCGCCAAGAGTGGTCTCCGAGTGCAGAGCCAGAAGTAAGCCTTGAGCATCACAGCGTGTGCCTTGCGGCACCCCCCCCCCCCCCACATGAAAAAATGTCTTGAGGGGTTGGAGTGATAGTACAGGACTAGGGTGCCCATCCTGCGCGTGGCCTATGGGTTTGACCCCAGGCATCCCATATAGTTCCCAGGGCAACGCCAAGGGTGACCCCTGAGGGCAGAGCCAAGAGTAAGCGCACCAAGGTATGTGCTCCCCATTCCCCCCCCAGAGGATGGCTTGAGCATTAGGGCAACCTCACTGCAGTTTTGATAAGTGCTTGGGTCCTGTGGCAATCAAGATTCATTCACACCGTGGTGGTGAGGGTGATCAGAGTGAGAAGACAGGCAGAGAAGAGCAATGCAGCACGCACGGAAGGGTGAATGTGGTAAGGCCTATGGAGAAGTATAAAGGACCATGACAGGAACCCTTTAACCTGCTCGCCCCATGACTTTAAGGTTTTTATTTTTTTTGTTTTGTTTTTTGCTTTTGGGTCACACCCAGCAATGTTCAGTGGTCACTCCTGGCTCTGCACTCAGGAATTACTCCTGGCGGTGCTTGGCAGACCATATGGGATGCCGGGGACTGAACCTGGGTCGGCCGCGTGCAAGGCAAACGCCCTCCCCACTGTGCTCTACCTCTGGCCCCTCACCCCATGACTTTAAAGCTGAGAGGTGGAAGGCTAGATGGGTTATCAGGTAGGAGGCTGGCTGCGGAGAGAACATTCCAGGAAGAGTGAAAACTCCATTGGTCATTCCTGAGTTGGAAAAAAATTCCACCTCTTCAAGAAAGAAAAGTCAGAACCCTTTCAAAACTACTGCAGCTTATCTCCAGCAACGTAAAGCAGGGCAAAACTTTACCTGATATATAGTGTTCAGGAATGACCCCTGAGCAGCCAGGAGTAAGTCCTGAGCACCACTGCGTGTGGTGCAAAAAAACCGAAAAATAAAAAATTAAGTGGAAATTTGAGGGCCTGGAGGTAGAGTGGGTAGGGCACTTGGCCAGCATGCGGCTGACCTAGGTTCGACCCTCAGCAACCTGCATGGGGCTGAGTGCTCTGCTGGTGGGGGGTCTGGGCTGCCCCAAGCAATCAATGTCAGGTTCCTGGTCTGCGGTCTAATGGCTACTGCAGGTCGAGGCTGTTATGGCAGTGAGCGGAGCCCCGTGGCTCTAACCCCGCCGTCCCCCCAGTTCCCCTTCTCAGTTATGCCAACTCTCCTCATTCTTCCTTCTAGGGAGCTCACCTATTCAGGGGTCCCCTTTCAGCCGCCTGCCCCAGTTCCCTCTCCCAGGACTTGCCCCTTCCTCTTCACTCAAGAAAGCCAGCGGCAGCTTTCACCAAAGGAAACTGCCCTGGACTAGGAGAAGCTTCTGCTAAGTCTCAGGTGGGAAGCACTGAGAACTACGGGGGTCTGTCTGTCACACCCAGTGGTGCTTGGGGGACCTTCTGGGATGCTGAGAATCGGACCCAGCTCAGCTACCGGCAAGGCAAATGCCCTACCCACTGTATGATCTCTGGCCCCCCGACCTCCACAATTGTTTCTTACTGAGCATGTGTGGACGGAGGCTGGAGCACAGCGGGATGGGTGTCAGGGCTGTTCTAGGATCCTCACGGATTCCACATGGGGATCTGAGGAGGGAGGGAGGGAGAGTGAGAGCGTGAGCATGCCACTGACAGGAAACTGCGGCCTCATCTCCTTTCCACAGAGACCCAAGGGAAGCCGAGCACGCGGGCGTTGAGCTAGGAAGTGGAAGCCTGGCCTGAGATCGACAGATTCCACCATCTAGATTTTATTCCATTTTATTAAATATGAAACAACAGCAAAAAAAAAAAAGTGAATGCACAAAACAACAAAAGAGCGGAGAAGCCGCAGATGCAGCCAGCCAGCAATAACTCCTGTCCTGCACTAACTCTGACCCTTCCACACATGGGGAAGCCGGGCCCTGGCGGCCACCTCTGCCCACAGGAGCCCAGAGGAATTCAGGACCGAGAGTAGAAGATGAGCAAAGTCCTGGATCTGGTCTTGGCCAGCGGGCGTAGAGGCAGCCTGGACACGGCCCTCCGAACTCCCCGGACGCAGACACACACACACACACACACACACACACACACACACACACACACACACACACACAGTGCTACTGTCCTCAACACAGTGGAGCCAAATGTCAACCCAGCACCCTGCAGGCCAGTGTCGGGGGCGCTTAGGGGAAGAAACTGACAAGGCATCCCCGCAGAAGCAGGAAGTCTAGACTATGAGGCAGAATGCAGGGTCCCTCGGTGTGGCTCGCCACAGAAGCAGGAAGTGTAGACTGTGAGGCAGAACACAGGTTCCCTTGGTGTGGCTTGAGCCCCTTGGAGGAGGCTGAAGCCGGCAGTCTTCCCACGGAGCCCCCAGCTATGGTTTCTTGTCTGCAACCCCTGGGCTGGAAGCAGAACTTCCACCCGGGCTCAGAACTGCTGGAGGATCATTTTCCGCTTCCGGTCGAGGCTGAACTTGTTCATCCGGAAGAGCTCACTGTCGTAGAAGGCTGAGAGGTTGTGGATGTTGATCTGCCGGGCCTGGGGCGGAAACGTGGGGCTCAGCACCCTTGGGGCCGAGAAAACCTCCTGGTGCACCCAGGGCTGGACTCAGGGCTAGGGAACGAGCCCCCGCTGGCTGCGGCCAGCTAATTGGCCACGGAACCTGCATGCCCGGCAGCATGGGGCAACACTGGACACCCCTCCCCTGGCGCCCCTCACGAGAGAACAGAAAGGCGCTCAGACACTGCAGCTCACAAAGGGCCCCCACACCACGGAACGATGGAGCCAGCACGCCTCAATCAGTGGGGCCTGCACGCCCCCGACCCCGGCCCCCCACATACCTTATCCACCAAGTCCTTCTCCGGCACTTCGATGGTGTCCTGCTGGGCCCCAAAGCGGTTGCGCTGATAAGTCACCTGCTCGGTCACCAACTGCTTCAGTATGAAAAGCAGCAGCTCGTTGTTGTCCCGCCGGAAGGAGAGGTAGCGGGCGAAGGTCTGGGGAGCAGACGGCCAAAGCCGGATGTCATCGGTCAGGCCCGGAATGTCGGGGAGTGGGTGGGTGGGTGGGGTCCTCCCTTCATCCCAGCCCGGGCCCCCTCCCCCACACCTTCCGCATGCTGCGCATGACGCTGAACTTCTGCGTGTCGATGAAGCTCTCCAGCATCACGCGGATGGCCATGTTCACGTCGTCCTCCATCACGTAGTCCCGCAGGTGGATGCGCGCGTGGGCCTCGGCCATGCGGATCATGGACTCGATGTGCCGCACGGTGATGGGGATGCTGCCTGTGGCCTGCAGGGGGAGGTGGCGTCAGGGGGAGGGGGCCGGGACGGGGCTCCAGATGCCCGAGCCCAGGTGCTGTCACCCTTCCCCTGGTTCTCCAGGTACGACGGGACCAGGGGGTGCTCGCGGCCCCCGAAACATCTGCGCCCCCCCCATGTGTGTCCCAGCTCACGCCCAGGCAGGGGCCTATCCAAGCCCCACAGTGAGAAAATACAGCCCCGGCAGTTCCTACAAAAAAACCTGACTTGAATGTTCTGGAAAGAGTCGCTTCAAGAGATTAAAAAAAAAAAAATGCTGGGACTGCAGAGAGAGTACAGCGAGTGGGGGAGGGCGCTTGCCTCATAAGCAAACGGATTTGATCCTCAGCATCCTGTGTGGTTCAAACACTCCACCAGGAAATGATTCCTGAAGCACAAAGCTAGGACTAAGCCCTGAGCATCGTCAGGTGTGGACCCAAGGCAAAACTAAAATTCTAAAAAGTGTGTGTGGGCTGAAGAAAAATAAGAACTTGTGGCTGGCCCAAGTTCAATTCCAGGAACGACACAGGGTCCCCCGGGCACAGCCAGAAGCGATCCTTGAGCGCAGAGTCACGGGTGACCCCCGAGTACTACAAAAACAAAATACAAAAAAACAAAAACAAACAAAAAACCCCACAACCGGGGGCTGGAACAATAGCACAGCGGGTAGGGCATTTGCCTTGCACGCGGCCAACCTGGGTTCGATTCCCAGCATCCCATAGGGGCCCCTGAGCACCGCCAGGAGTAACTCCTGAGTGCATGAACCAGGAGTAACCCCTGTGCATCGCCGGGTGTGACCCAAAAGCAAATAAATAAAAAATAAAACCAACACAACCAAAACCCGCTGCCGTCCAGATGATTAAAGGCGAGTGGACAGCCTCAGCCCTGCACTGCAGCCACTCTGCAAGATGCTCACCTTCCTCCCCACATGGGGCAGGCACAGGCCCCTCCAGTGAGAGCCACGCGCTTGGCATGGCTCAGGGGCACTGCTAAGGTCTGCCGTACAGAAGCTGGTGAACAGCCACACAGTTCATCCCCCTTCCTCCAGGCTCCGGTGGACAGTGGCGCTGTCAGAGCTGCTGTGGCCCCTCCCCAACCCCCTACCCCCGGCCCTGGGCGCTCACCATGGACTCTTTCCGCAGGTCACTGTACATTTTGGCCACTTTGTCCTGGTCCATCTGGTTGAGCTTCGGCCGGACCTTCTCCTTGGCGTAGATGATGTACTTCTTCAGGACCTCCTGGGGCAGGGGCTCCACGCCATACGTGTTGGGCATGGCGGGCTCTGAGGCGTCGCCACCGCCCAGCCCTGCTTCCTCCTTGTTGCCGGGGTGATGCCTGATGTGGCTGCCCACCACGAAACGGGCCAGCATCTCATCCTGCGGCAGGTGGGGGAGGGGGCCCGGGGTGAGCGTGGTGCCGGCTATGGGGTACGTCATGGAGGCATGCCAAAGCCCTCCCTTGGTGCGACCCCCCTCCCCCGCACCCCCTGGGAAGGCAGAGAAGATGCCAGCTTCCAGGCTAGCCGGAGGGCAGGAGAGGAAGCACAGTGGGCAGGCTATCTGCCTGGCACAGGGCCACCTGGGATCAATCCCTTGGAACCCCATACATGCCCATGCCCCCACCAGGATGGACCCAAGCACAGAGCCAGGAATTAGTCCTGCATGCCTTACCCCGTCTCCCTCCCCCCAAATCTAACCGTAGGGCCAAAGATCAGAGGACTGGGGTTGCTTGTCCTGGGAGTTTCCTTGCATGCCTGAGGCTGACCCTCCCAGCAGAGCTGAAAGTATCCTTCAATCCCACCCCACCCCCCTACCGCCCTCATAAACAAAGACAAAATGTGCTAAATAGGAAAAAAAAAACAAAAACAGGACAGCAGGATCAAAGGTCCGAGGCGGTTCCTACAGGCAAGGCACAAGGGAGGCAGCTCAGGGGCCACCAGGATTCAATCCCAGTACCAGATGGTCAACCCGTGGCCTGAGAATCACTGGGAGGGGCCCTGGCTGAGCGGAGCTTGGGATTCCGCCACCACCAAAAAGCCTGAGGTGTGGCATCGTTAGCGGGGAGAGAATGGGTCTGTGAAGGGCCTGGACAGAGGTTGCAGGTGGGTGCCTGGGCGAATGGGGGGAGTGAGGGGGGTAGGGCTGTGCTGGTGGCAGGAATCTGTGAGCTCAGGATCGACACAGGCTGCCTTTGACCAGAGATCTCAATGGGGTTAGCAGGAGCTGGGACCCACCCGATGGGGCTCACATGGGGCTGTAGCAAGGGCCGAGACCCAGGCCACAGCGAGAAGCAGCACTCAGGCCGCAGGACCCCAGACCTGCCAGAAGAACGAAACCCAGGAAAACACTAGACAGAAGGGCTGGAGTGGGGGGCCAGAAAGGCATTACAGCGAGTGGGCAGGGAGCTTGCTCTGCACACGGCTGACTCGGGTTCAGTCATGGCATCCCACATGGTCCCCCGAGCATCATCCTATGTGGCCCCAAAACCGAAATAAAAAGAGCAGACTGTGTGTCACTCTTCCTGTGCCTGGGACCCTGGACAAGTCTCACTTGGGGTCCCCGGGATATGGTGCAGGAAACACAGGCCCCGGGTGAAATACCTGGACAGGGTCCACTGTATCCCGCACCACACACAGGATGTCGAAGCGGGAAATGATAGGCTCAGTGAGGTCCACGTTTTCTGAGAAGGTCAGGGACGGGTCATAGCGGCCTCCTGAAAGGCAAAGGCAACTCCATCACGACTCACAATCCTCCGGCTCGGGGAGCCCCCGAGCCACAGGAATCTCCTCCTGGCCCAGCTCACTCAGGTGGGAGGGAAGTGGACTCCAGAGGATTATCTGTGAGTTCGGGATCAACACAGGCTGCCTTTGACCGGACACTTAAATGGGGTGAGCAGGAGCTGGGCCCTACCCGATGAGGCCCACGTGGGGCTGTAGCAAGGGTCGAGACCCAGGCCACAGCCGTGACCCGTCAGGCCTCTGGACAGACAGAAAAGTGATGGGCCAGCTGGGAAGATAGGACAGCAGGTCAGGCGCTAGCCTTTTACGTGGCCCACCCCCAGGTCTGACCCCCGGCACCCCGTATGGTCCCCCGAGCACCATCAGGAGTGAACCCTGAGTGCAGAGCCAGGACTAAGCCCTGAGCATCACTGGATATGACTGAAAAACAAAAACAAAACAAAAAACAAGGGGTGAGGGTTGGAGCCCATCACTGCCCGAATATGCCTCTGGACAGAACCATAACCACGTCCGGCGAGGGAACGTCAGTGGACAGGCTCATTCCCACTGGGCTGGCCGTTGCCTGATCCTGGCCTCTCGTGGGAAGAAGAGCCCACGGAGCTCCTAAGGACAGGGCTCAACCCTAACCTCTCCCACCCCTCCCACACTGCACTGTGCCAATGACAGGTTCTGACTCCCACCCCCGAGGCAGGAGTCCCCTGGCCACCCTGACCCAGGGGCCGTGACCACGATACCGATGGGGTTGGCTGCGGCGATGACGGTGCAGCGGGCCTGCAAGGAAGTGACGATGCCGGCCTTGGAGATGGAGATGCTCTGCTGCTCCATGGCCTCGTGGATGCTGGTCCTGTCCTGGTCGTTCATCTGCACGAGACGCCGTCACTCGGTGCCTGCCCGATCCCTCTCCCCCAAGGCACACACCCGCCTCACCGGCGGCCCCCCCGGGGAACACCCACCTTGTCAAACTCGTCGATGAGACACACCCCTCGGTCCGCCAGCACCAGGGCCCCGGCCTCCAGCGTCCACTCCCTGCTGACCGGGTGCCGCTGCACGTAAGCTGTGAGACCCACGGCTGAGGCGCCCTGGCCCGTGGTGAAGATAGCTCGGCTGGACACTTTCTCCAAGTACTTGAGGAACTGTGATTTGGCGGTGCCGGGGTCTCCGCACAGGAGGACGTTGATGTCCCCTCGCACTTTGTGCTTGCCGCCTGGGGGTGAGAGGGTCAGGGGGAGCAGCAAAGGAAGGGGGTGAGCGTCCGGGGCAGCCGGCACCTTCTCTACCTGCCTGTTATCGATGGCAAAAGGGCTTGGAGGGGCCGGAGCGATAGGACAGTGGGTAGGGCATTTGCCTTGCATGCGTCGACCCAGGTTCAATTCCATATGGTCCCCTGAGCACTGCCAGGAGGGATTCCTGGGTGCAGAGCCAGGAGTAACCCCTGGGTATCGCTGGGTGTGACCGAAAAAGCCAAAAAAAAAAAAAGGCTCAGAGCCAGAGCAATATCACAGCAGGTAGGGAGTTTGCTCCACCTGGACTCAATCCCCGTCCTCCCATAGGGCCCCCTGAGCACTGCCAGGAGCGATTCCCGAGTGCAGAGCCAGGAGCAAGCCCTGAGCACCACTGGGTGTGGCCCAGAACAAAACTAAAAAGGCAACAGGGTCGCTTTCCCTGGAGAGGGAGGTGCTGATAGCTCAGGACCGGCGGCGACCTCACGCCAGAGCACAGACCCCCGACAGTGACGTGGGGGGAGGGCCACGCGTTCCTGCCGCCGTGGCAGCACTGACTAAGAGGGAAAAAAACAGCCTGCTCTGGAATCTGGCACTTTCCGCCCTTGCACACGACCACGCAGGGAAAAGGCAACCGTCAGCCGCAATAACCTTCCGAGGACTCCAACAATTTCCTTCAGTGCTGGGGGAGGGGGGACGGGGCACTGAACCCCAAGCATGAGATGACGTGACGTACACACTCATTCGTGCAGCTGACACCTGCTGTTTCTCCCGATGACGACCCAAATCACCCCAGCTGCCATGTGCAGGGCTCACTCCCGGGACCCTGCTCCGCCCAGGATGATGGGGGTTGGGGGGGGCTGTTGCGGCTCACCTGGGTTCTTGGGCTCCCCTCCGAAGAGCGCGAGCGCCAGGCCCCTCTTGATGTCCTCGTGCCCGTAGATGGATGGGGCGATGCTAGCAAAGATCTGGAGGAGAGGGAGGGAGGCCGCGCACTGTGTGAGCCAAGAGGGTGACCCTGGCTCTGCGCTCGGCCAGGGCCACTCCCAGCCCTGAGACCCCCCCCACCCGCCCCCTCCCCGCTTCAGGCCTGGCACCCCGCCGGGGACCTGGAAAAAAAAAACTACCCATCTTCCTGAGAATCACAAAACTTCAGGGGCACAAAATTGGTCGGACTCCAAGTCCAGGAAGGGCCTCAACCCCCCGGAGACCAAACCCAGCAGGGACAAGACCGGGTGCGTGAGATGGCACTGTGGCCGGGAGGGCCAAGGATGAAGGCTGAGCATCCACGGCCATGATTCCCACGGGTGAGCCATGGAGCACTGGCCCTGGCTGCATGTCTGGAGTACCCAGGGAAGGACGCAAACAGTGCATGAGTTTTAATGATGCAGTGCGGCATGATAGCTTAAGGACTTGGTTTTTGTTTTTGTTTCTTTGGGAGGGGGCACACCTGGCGATGCTCAGGACTTACTCCTGGCTCTGCACTCAGGGATCACTCCTGACAGTGCTTGGGGGATCCTGTGGGGATCGAACCTGGGTCAGCTGCATGCCTGGCAAATGCCCTCCCTGCCTTACGATTGCACTAGGCTCCACAAGGATTTGTTGGCAGGAGACGGGCTTTCAGCTCCACTCACAGGTCCATGCCTTTTGTGCTGAGGGGTTCAGCATGAGCACTGCAGCCGGGACACCCCTCCTCTTACGGGTCAGGGAAGGAGGATTAGACAGAGCACATTTACTGAGCCGACCCAGCAGGCTACAGGAGGAAAAAGCCCTGTGCCCAGAGGCTAGGCCTGGTCGCGAGCGCCAGTGTCCGGGGGGGGTCAGTGCCACCGGGGAGGGTCCCCTACCTTCTCCCCGATTTGCTGGTCCTTGGACAGGCTGGTGATCATCTTCACGTCTTCGTCCGTCAACTCCCCCATGGCGACCTTGTTGTCTTTCTTGGCCACGTGGTTGGCCAAGATGACCGTGGCAAAGACTGGGAAGCCGTTGGCGGTGTTGAGGGAGCCATCATAGTTGTTGTGGTAGATGCCGGTCAGCTCCTTGGGGGTCGTGGGGGGTGGGCAGGGCCAAGCTGGGATCAGCTGGGGGCTGCACCCACCCCCACACCGGCTCCCCTGCCCCAGCTACAGTGACCATGACCTGATGCCCAATCTCCACCATCTCCCCAAGCGCGCCTCCCCCCTCCCCACTGCCCTGCCCCAGGTCCCACCCGACACCTACAATTTCGTCGCCTGGCTTGCAGCTGTCCACCAGATCGGCCAGCAGGATGGCGTCCTTGGAGCGTGGCAGCCGGCCGGCGGCCACTTTGCCTGGGCTCTCCTGAATCCGGATGCGCTGGTAGTTCTGGTAGATGGTCTGCATGGACAGAGGGAGAGTCACGGGGTCCACAGGGGACACATGGTCACTAGGTCCTCCAGGGACAGACACTGGATCACAGGACTCCAGCGGAGGAGCCCAAAACTCCCCCAGCCCCATTAACACGTCATCTCACCTTGACCTTGGCCACAGGGAGGGTGTCCACGGTGCCCGGCACACTGGTGGGTGACGCCCACTCCTAACTGCTGACCAGTCAGGTACCCCAAGCCCATGGGCCTAATCCTCTGTGACCGTGGGGCAGTGAGGGCCTCCCTGTGGCCTCCGGGAAGGGGGGGGCTAATGCCGTCACTGCAGCCTCACAAGGAGGCTACTGGCTGGCCATCCACACACACAAGGACCCTCGTGGGTTGGCAAATGGGCATCACACCAAGGTGGGCTCAGCTGCTGGGCCACTCCATGTCCTTCATTTCACTAACTCTCTAGCCAAGTGGCCATTGTGGCCAACACTTGGGGCGACATGGCAGTTCAAAGCCTCCATGCTGCACCCAAACACCTCGGTCCTCAGCCAGGCGGGTAGACCCCAGCCCTGGTCACTTCCCTAAGCACCACGTTTCTTTGATGGGAAACGGGGATCCCGATAGAACCTGTCTGAGGTATAAGAGGCACAAACATGACACGGTGTACCAGGGAGATAAACCCGGAGCCTTAGCTCCAGAGCGCTCCAGAGTATTCCAGAACATTCTACTGTAACTTCCACCATCCACTGGCTTCTGTCTCCAGGTCCCTAGAAGCAGAGACTGTGAGTCTGCTCTTGTCCAAAACACTGGTGGGGGGCTTCTGAGAAGGCTCGAAGGGCCGGAGCCTCACACACAGCCCCCACACACTGCCAGCTGAGTCCCCATCCTGCAGAGAAGCTTATGGAGGTACCAAGGCCCGCGGGGTGGGGTGGGGATGCTGCAGTGGCCTGGGAACTGCAGCTGTAAAGCCTCGAAGCTCATCCCTCCCACATGGGCAACCCCCAAACACGAACCTGCCAACAGGTCATTTTGGGGGGAGGGGTGGCCGGAGGGTGGGGTGGGGAGATAAAAAGGAGTTGGATCACACCTAGCGGTGTTCAGGAAACCGTGTGGTGTCAGGGACTGGCCCTGGGCCTCCAACATGCACGTGCTGGGCCCTCTGACCCATCTCCCTGGCCCCATCAAGCAACCTCAGCCTATCAGCTTCCACCAATGTGACCTCCCAGGAACTGCCTGTGGCCTGGATGCTCCTGCTTAGGCATTTCCTCACGAGTCCCGCAGTGAAGAGTCCACAGACAAGGGGATAGGGCTGGGGTGGGGGTAGAAGCAGAGATTTGAGAGGAATGCATGGCACCAAGGACCCCCTGTTCAGAACAAGTACTGAAGACAGAAGAACACGCGCTGTGCATGAGGTCTCAAAGCTTGGAGGCCTTCATGGGCCTCCTGAGCGAGGAACCAGTGAGGGTCCGCGTGGCTGTGTCAGGCGTCCCCAGGTCAAACCCAGAAAGAAGCAAGTACCGGAAGCATCTCAGAGACGCCTGGCAGGGCCTGTGGGTGAGTGAAGGAGCGGAGAGCAGGTGCCCTGCTAGGTGGGCAGCTGGGTAAAATGTGGCCCATTTTGCTAGACGGCTCAGTTTTCAAGAAAAGCATCCATTCTGAAGCTGATTTTTGGTGAGAAGTGCGAGAGAGGGGGATGGTGGTGGTCTGAGCCACAATGAACGGTGCCCGGGACTTACTTCCAGCTCTGTGCTCAGGAGTGATCCCTGGTGTGCCCAGGAGACCATATTCGGTGCCAGGGATTGAACCGGGATCTGTTCCCGGCAAAACAGGCACCCTAACCCCCGTTATATGTCTGCGGCCTCAAACCGTGGTGTTTGAGTCAAACCTCTTGTTTCACCACCACTACCAGATGCCAGAAGCAGGCGGGGCTTGCCCAGAGCCCCGGGAGAGGCCACCGGCAAGGTCCATTCTGCTGCCCACCCTGCCCTCCCAGCAGCCAGCAGGGGGTGCCATGTGCTCTCTCACCTCCTCCATGTTGACTTCGAAGGGGCCCAGGGACTGGCACTCGGGGCAGGAGCCCGGCTTCACCTCCTGGTTCTGGGTCTGCGAGAAGGGGCCCAGCACGTAGTTACACTTGTTACAGTTGTACTTGACCAGGCTGAGCTGGGGCAGGACACCCGTGCAGCTGGTCACTACGCCGCTGGTCCGGATGAGCTGGTTCAGGTGCAGCTGCCTGGGGGTGTGGAGAAGAAAAGAAGTGGCTCAGCTGGGGACGGACGAACAGACGGACGGATGAGGAGGCACAGCTGCGTGTCGGGCTGAGAACCCGGAACCCCGGGCCTGCACGGGCCGGCAGCCTCCCCGGCTCACCTGAGCGAGCGCAGCTCCTCCACCAGGGGCAGGTGGGAGATGCGCACGTGGATGTGGCTGGTGATGCGGTCGTACTTCGGGTACATGGCCAGCACCACCTCCAGCGCGGCCTCGTCGAAGATCTTCAGCAGCTCGGCGGGCGCCTCGGGCAGGAAGTAGGCCAGCACGTGCTCCCGGGCCGCCAGGTCCTCGTAGTTCACCACCAGGCTCTCGCGGTTCTCTGGGGGGACCAGGGCACCGGTGAGGCTGGTGGTGGCGGCCCGCCAACCCCTCCCTCCACCAACCCCTGGCCAGGAGCCGCAAGGCCTCGCTCTTGTGTTACCATGTACACCCTGCCTTAACCACGTGACTCACTCGGACCCACCCTAAGCCTCGACTTCCCAGTCTGTAAAACAAGTGAGCCAGGGAGATAAGTTGAAGTGCAGTAGCACACCCTCTGCATATGGGAAAACTGCCCCCCTCACATGCTTGGTAGCCCCCAAGACCACACTGCTGGGTGTGGCCCCAAATCAACCTGTAAAATGCAAACGGAAACGCTTATCAAGTTTCCGACAGACCACGGACTCAGAATACCTGAGACCAGGCAGAGGTCCAGGAAGAAACTGTTCGACAGAAGACAGAAGGAGGGAACCAAGAAGTCAGGCTTAGGGCCCAGAGTGACAACAGTACAGCAGGCAGGGCGCTTGCCTGGCACGTGGCCAACCTGGGTTCGATCCACAGCACCCCATAAGATCGATCCCCTGAGCCAACCGGGAGTCATTCCTGAGCACAGAGTCAGGAGTAATCCCTGAGCGCTGCAGGGTGTGATCCCAAAACCAACAAAGAGGAAAAAGGAAAAAACACACCCAAGCCCCCAAAGAATCCAGGCTCTCAGGCCTGCCTCTCAAGATCTATTCCTAGACCCGACGCAGGCCAACAGGCTGAGTCTCAGCTTTGTGGGCAGGAGGCTGGGTTTTGACCCCCCAAGCACTGTCAGAGACCCCCAGGCGTAGCTAGCAGCGTGGCCCAGAGCCACACCAAGCTGACAAACTCAGTCCGTCTCGTTCCACAATCAACAGCTATTTGGCTTCCAAACACAAACCCGTGTGTCCGGATGAGGTCCCTGCAGAATAGTAGGGCATCCCTGTGCGGGCCCCACGGGACTCCCGTCGGGGCCTTCAGGTCCCCACTCCCGTCTTTGCCCCAGGCAAGCATTTCTGCCCATCACGGCTCGTGAACGTATTGTTTGAGCCCGGCGCGGTCCCCTTCTGGGGGGTGCGGGGCTGCCCGCGGGCCTCAAGCAGGCAGAGACCCCAGTACCTTTGCACATGTCACTGATGCGCTCCTTGAAGACGTTGTGGCCGTGGCCGTCCACGTGCGTGCGCAGGAAGTTCTTGAAGCGGTGGTGGATCTCCAGCCGGGGCCCCGCCATGCTCACCCACTCGCGCACCGAGTGGCCCTTGAGGTCCTCCAGGTTCTCGATGCTCTCGATCATCTCATCGTCCTCACCCTCCTCAGTGGCCCGCTCTACCTGCCGGCGCTTCCGGGCCGGCCGCTCCTCGTCCTCCTCGTCGCTGTCTGGAGGGGGAGGGGAGGGGCCTCAGGCGCTGTCTTTCCAGCCAGCCCCGGCCCCCACATCCGGCCCCAGACCCCCGCCCCGGCCTACCATACAGGAGCCCCCGGCGCATGCGGCCCAGGCCCCGGCCCGCCTCCCGGTCGCGCTGCCGCATGACCCGCTCGGCCTCCGCCCTCTGGCTGGCCGTCAGCTCCTCCACGTCTTCGTCGTCCAGGGCCAGCCCCTCCGGCTCGTAGGTGTCCAGCTCCAGGATCTGACGGTAGTCCCTGAGGGAGCCCCACACGGATCCCGTTGGTACCCCCAAGACCTCCTCACCCAGCATCCGAGCCGCCCTGAGAGCAGCCTCCACCCCGACCAGGCAGACGCCTACGGACAAGAAGGTCTTTGTCTCCCACCCAACCAGCCCCCGCCTACAGGGCAGCCGCAACCCTGAAGGCGCAGATAACCGTCTTGGGGGTGGGGGAAAGGGGGTCAGGGGGAGCTGGATTAACAGCCCGGGGATCTATCCCAGCAGGACGTCGAGGACAGTCTACGGGGCAGGCACCCAAGGGGGGAAAATGTGATGTCCAAGGACAGATCAGAAAACCAGAGACAGGCCCAAGAGAGGAGCAGGTAAGGCTGGGCCAGAGCCAGAGCACAGCGGGGAGGGCGCTGCCTTGCACACGGCCGACCCAGGTTCAACCCCCGGCCTTCCAGTATGGTCCCCAAGCACCAGGAGTGATGCCGGAGGACAGAGCCAGGGGGACGCCCTGAGCACTGCTGGGTGTGGCCCCCAAACGGGAAGAGAATTTAAAAAGCATCAGTTAAGGCACCTGCATCGGATTCCACTAACCAGGCTGGCACCCCCGGCAGCACACATGGTCCCCAAGCACCACTAAGGGTCACTCCTGACCACTGCGAATGAGGCCCCCAAAACTGGGGTGTTAGAGAGCGCACAGGGTTCAAGGCCTGCACACAGTCAACCCTGTGTAAGGGCCCCATGCCCCACCCAAGAGTGATCCCTGGGCATCGCCCTCCCCGCACAAAACAAAAGCCAAGTTCACTGGGCTCTAGCGACCCTCACAGCCCCAACACAAAGCGCCTGCAAGGAGCCTGGTTTCTCGAGAGGGAATGCAGGAAGAGGAGAGGATGAGGGCTTGGCCACGTGGGACCGTGGCACCGTTCCGCGTCAGACTAAAGACAGGGAGCAGGGACTGGACTGATACTACAGCTGGGAGGGCGTTTGCCTTGCATGCAGCCAACCCGGGTTCGATTCCCGGCATTCCATATGGTCCCCGGAGCACCACCAGGAGCTAATTCCTGAGTGTAGAGCCAGGAGGAACCCCTGTGCATTGCCAGGTGTGACCCAAAAATAAAGAAGTCAGGGAGCAAAGCACCCCCCGCCCCCAAGATGCTCGGAGCCCGCATGGCTTGTGCCTACAGATCTGGTGACAACTTGAGGAAAGCCGGTGGCAGAAGCCACACCTCACTAGTTGCTAAGTGGACCCCACCCCCTTGGCAGGAAGCCCCCGGCTGCAATCAGGCCCCTTTCTGTTCTGAGTATCGAACAAGGGGTCTGGCACGAGCTAGACCCAGCCAAGGGTCACCGGACAGGAGACCAGCTTCTGAGTCAGGGCACCCCACACTGAGTCTTCACACTGCAAAAACCTTTGGCTGTCTGCTTCCTGTCCTCAGTGGGGCCCCCTGCTCCCACCCCTGCCCTCCCTAAAGTGGCCCTTGCATGTCCCCGGGGGGTACACACCCCCCTCGTGGAACTGGGGCTTACCCAGGTCCTACCATCGAGTTCGAGTTCCACAGGGTAAGTTCCACGGGACTCAACAGTGGCTCTCGGAACCCCAGTCGGAGACACACACTCAAAGGCCAGGGCTGAGGACCTGCCTCTGTCCCCCACCCCCAAATCCAGGTCCCCCAGGCACCCCCTGCGGGGCCCAGCAGGGACCCAAGTACCTCTCCATGCCGTCTCCAATCAGATCCTCTCCCTCCTCATCCTCCTCGTCCAGGGGGCCCTCGGTGCCCAGCAGGCCCTCAGACTCATCCTCAAAGGGTGGAAGGTCCCGGCCGGGGCTGGAGGTGAGGGCGTCGGCACGCCGGGAGCTCCTGCCCGGGCTGGAGGTGAGGGGGTCATTGCTGCGCCGGCGCCGCCGCTGGGCCGGGCTGGATGCTGTGCCCAAGGACTCGGATGATTCCTGCAGAGGGAAGGGGGCGGGGAGGGGAGACTGAGCAAATCGCGGATCGAGGCATAGGCAGGGGTGGACACACACCATGGTGGGGTGTTGGTCTCGTTTAAGGGACACCCAGGTACACTGCTGGCACCGCGTATGGGCCCAGAAGTGGGAACCTTCTCCAGCCAATGGCCCACTCCACTGGACCTCCAGAGGCTCAGCCTGAATGCTAGCCCCAGGCTTTTCTGTGTCTCAGCAAGCGGTGACCAGATCGATAGCAAGGGAGCAGCGTGCCCCTGGCCTTGCTGCCCTCTCTGGCCACAGCTCCCGGGGGTGGCACTCACTGACCAGCTCTCGATCTATTCTGCCCGCCCCTGGGGGCACTGTGATAACTAGCTAGGACACAGAGGGACCCAAGATAAAGACCCAGAATCCAAATACCATGAGTGCGTGTGTGTGCGTGTGTGTGCGCGCGCGTGTGTCCCAAAGACAGAGAAAAGGAACCCAAATACCACTGTGTGTGTATGTATGTGTGTGTGTGTGAGACCCAAAGACAGAGACCTGGAATCCAAATACCAGTGTGTATGTGTGTGTGTGTGTCACAAAGATAGAAATCCGAAACCCAAATACCAAAGTGTGTGTGTGACCCAAAGACAGAGACCCGGAACCCAAATACCACAGTGTGTGTGTGGTTGTGTGTGTGTGTGTGCGTGTATGTGTGGTGTCAGAGACAAGAAAAAAAATAGGACCCTGAAAATACAGCAGTGAAAAGAATCCTGGGGTCGGGGAGACAGCTCCGATGCAGGAGCCTGGGGGCTCCCTCACCGTCGGGGTTCCCAGCACAGCCTCTAAGGTCCAAAAGCAAAAGAGAAAATTTGAATAATAATAATAAAAAAAATAGTGCAGGGTGGGCTGGGAATATATGTCGCCAGTGGGCGCACTTGCCACCAGTGTGATGCCCCCAGGTTCCAGCCGCTGGGAGGCACAGAGGATAAAGGGAGAGAAAAATACGTAAGCGCCCGGAGGTGCATGGGCCCTTTTCCTGTCTCTGGTAGACAGACCCTCCCCCCTCAGCGCCAGACCCAGCGCCCTAAAACCATATACACTGGGTGTTAACCGCTGCAGGTGTGTGTGTGGGGGGAGGGGGGCCTGGGCAGGGCTCCACTGTCCGAGCCACAGCCCAGGTCAGTGTGCAGCCAGGACTCAAGGGTGCGGGGGGTGGGGGGGTCTGCAGACCCACAGAGGGAGGAAAAGTCAGCTTCAAAACGAAATACGGAAGCTGGAGCAATAGCACAGCGGGTAGGGCGTTTGCCTTGCACGCGGCCGACCCGGGTTCGATTCCCAGCATCCCATAGTGTCCTCGAGCCAGGGGTAATTCCTGAGTGCAGAGCCAGGAGGAACCCCTGTGCATGGCCAGGTGTGACCCCAAAAAGAAAAAAAAAAAACCGAAATACGGCGGCGGGGGTAAAGTGGCAAGTTTCGCCCCGCACCCCTGTCCAGTCGCGTCCACCGCACCCCCCGCCCGGCCCCGCAGCCCTCCCGGCCCCGCCCGCGCGTGCAGACCCCACTCACCGCCATGGCCACGCCGCGCTCCGCTCCGCTCCCGCAACAACCAGTTTTCGCGCGAAAACCGGCCCACGTGACCCGCGCGAGCCCGGGAAGCTTCCGAGGGCGGGCGGCGTCGTGGCGTCACGGGGCGGGGCGGGCCCCAGCGAGGCCACGCCCTCCCGCTCGGCGGCCCCGCCCACGCGCCGCGGCTGCGCGCCTCCGGGTACAGCTGAGCTGCCTTAGAGGCGGTGGCTGTGGACAGGCACCAGCGCCACCTGCCGGCTGCGCGGCCGCGGTCACGCTGAGACTTATGGGCAGATAGGGAAACTGAGGCCTGGCATTCTTCCAGCCCTAGGAGCTGACAATCTCCTCCGCTCCGAACGCACTTGAGGCTCTCCCAAGCCCCGAGCGTTCCCCCGGGTGGAGGAAAACTGCCTCTGACTTCTAGGGAGCCTTGCCTGGCGGAGGGAGCCGAGACTGGGGAAGAATGTTCTAGATAGAACATCATTTGTTTGTTTGGGTTTGGGGGCCACGCCCGCCATGGCTCCGGGCTTATTCCTGTGTCCTGCATTCAGGTGCTCGAGGGACCATATGGGATCAACCTGCATCAGCTGCGCAAGGCAAACTCCCCACCCAGGGTCCTTCCCACTGTTCTATTGCTCCAGCCCCAAGAGAGACCCGCGTTTGTAAAGGTATAGTGAGCAGGCCGAGCAAGGCAATCCTTTTCTTCCTTCCTTCCTTTCCTTTCTTCTTTCTTTTTTCTTTTTAAGGGGGTACTCAGCAGTACTCAGGGCTTACTCCTGGCTCTGCACTCAGGGGTCACCCCTGGTGGGGCTCGGGCACCCTATGGGATGTTTGGGATCAAAGCTGGGTCTGCTGCATGCAAGGTAAGTGCCCTCCCCGCTGCACAATCTCTCGAACCCCATCAAGTCTGCGGTTCTTAAACTGCTTGTGTTGATCAGAGCGGGACAAGGCTAAGTTGGAAACCCAGGGAAACAGAGACCCCCTGGGTCTAGCTAGGAAACTTGAACTCTGCCCTGCACGGTTCAGCAGGGTGAGACCAGTACCAGTGGGTCTTCGGGGAATCCATCCCACATTGTCACCAAGTTGGTGGCGGTTGTGGCTTTTCCTGCCTTACAGATGGGCTGTTCCCTGGGGCGGTTTGTTCTGCTTCATCAGATGGGAAACAGGCATCTGGGAATGGACCCCAGGGTCATGGCAGGACGTGTGTGTGTGGGGGGGGGGATGAGGACCGGAACCCCTAGGATGAGCAGTCATATGGGTCTTGGGGACGGAGGACAGCCAAAGACCGTCCCAGGAGGACCCCGCAAAGGGCGACTCTGGTTTAGACAAGTGGATGGTGGAGAGAGATGAAGGAAGAAGCCAAGTCTGGGGCAAAGAGGCTGAGTTTCTCCCTGGCTGCAGAGGGAATGCGGGCTGTCAGTGTAGAATTCCCCAGGAAGAGTTGCCTAATTCAGAGAGATCACAGCAAGAAGGTGGCCCCAGCCTGAGGCTAAGAAACACCAACAATGGCCAGATAAGAACTAGGTCCCGTGTGATGGTGAGAGAGACGGGGTGGTTTTGGAATTTGCCTTCCTTTCCTTGGGTGGCGTGAGCACTCATCAATGAACATTCCTCCTGCCGTTTGGTGGGGGAATCGGGGCGCTGTCCAGCTGGGCCCAGGCCCTGGAGTCCCCTCCACAGCCTTTCCCAAGGGTGGCGAGCCCCCATGGGTGTCTTTTGGTATCTGCCGCCCTCTGGAGCCGGGCTGTGGCTTGTGCCTTCAAGGACAGCTAACAGATTTGCAGGATGGCATCTCAGCAGGACGCCAGGGCTGCTCTCTGCAACGCTGGTGACCAGAACCTTCGGAACTACATGATGACCGAGGGCAGGACAGTTACCAGAGCCTGGGGCCTGACCCTGGATGTCACCTATGGGTCCCTGAGTAGTTCCTTGCAGGCTGCTTTCATTCTCTGTTTCTGTTCTCCTTGGGGGCCACACCCAGTGCTGTTCAAAGGCAGCTCGTGCCTCAGTGCTGGGGCACCATGCGGGTGGGAGATTGAAGCCCAGAGCCCGGCTCCAGCCCTTGGAGCTATTTCCCCAGTCCTGTGGTTTTATTGGATTGGGTGCCCTGTGGTGCTCAGGAACCATCTGCAGTGTGGAGGTCAACCTGGGTGGATCACATGCAAGGCAAGTACTTTAATCCCTGTATTGTCTCTCTGGATCTTCGGAGCAGGCTTTGTTGTTGTTTGTTTGTTTTTTACTTCATTTGTTTTGGGTTTTGGCCGCAGTTTCAGTGCTGGGGGCTACTCCTGGCTCTGTGCTAAGGGGTCACTCCTGGCTGATTGAACTGGGGTCAGCTGCATGCAAGGCAAGTGCCTTACCTCCTGGACTACTTTTAAGGCCAGACTGACGAATTAAAGGACATGGTACTCCCGCACCCCACCTGCCACCCCCTCCTGGCCACCCTGTCTCTCCCTTTGCTTTAGGACACCTGGGGTAGCAATGCCAAATGGCAGAATTGGGTACTAGTAACTGCCACCCACCTCCTGAGAGTTGGGACTGTCCCCAGAGCATCAGACTGAAGCGAAGCTGGAGTGGGTCAAAGATGCTCTTTCCTGGCACGGGGCAGAAGGGAATTCCCCTGCCCGCAAGAGCTTGGAACTGTTCCAAGTCTGATTTTTTTTTTCCCCCTCCATTAGATGTGAGCCAGGGTAATTCCTTAAGGAATGTCTGACCTGCTTCCCAAAGAAAGCCCCGCGGGCAGCAGGCATGGGCGTTTGTGGTTGGGTAAAAACAGCCCCATAGCGAGAGAGAGCAAGGGAAGTCGGGAAGTCTCGGATCAAACCAGTCCCCAAGTGTCCCAAGGCCATTCCTGCCTCCCCCCCCCCCCCCCCCCATTAGAGCCCAACTGGAAGGTCACCGTGTTATCCCAGGGTGCGGATCATGGGATGTTTATGCTAAGTGGGTGTCCAGAATTTGTGCCAGGCACTGAGTTGGCCTCAGGACATTCCAGGGGTGAGGACAAGCCGGGTTCTGTGCTCACAGCACGAGCCTTCTAGTTGGTGGACGGGCTCATGGGAAAGTAGGATGCCAGGGAATGAATGTCATCTCGCTGGAGCGACCGCTGTTGGTGGGACATAAAGGGGCATTATGGGACAGGCTGAGGGACTCCTTTGGTCTACCCAGAGGCTGGCCCTGGCAGGAACAAGAAACAGAAAGTGGCCAGGCTGTCGCTGCAGCACTCTTGGGGGGAGGGGAGGGGAGGGGAGGTACTGGGCAATCAGGGAAGCCTTCTAGGGGGAGGCTGTCTTTCCTGATGAAGTTGGAGACAGAGGAGAGCATTTCACACATCTCGATGCCGGCGTCCTGGCTTTGTCACTTCCTAGTCGTAGTGCGGCTCAGGGGCGGGTGTCAGCCCCCAGTTTTCCCTCCCCCTGTAGAACTGCGCTAATAATAACCGCCCTGCAGGGTGCTTGCGGCTCCCACCCCGGGATGCTCAATAAAACGCCCCGGCGCTTTGATCGCGGCAGTGCACGCAGCGTCCTTCCTGGCTAGGGGATGTCCCTCATCCTTCTCTCCTCCAACCAGGGGACCAGAGGTCAGCGGCAGGACGGGCGGCCACTGCAGGGGCGCCCCCCGAGCAGCTCGCAGGGAAGCGCTGCGGACGCTTCTCCGCGGAGCCTGGGGGTGGAGGAGCGCCGGAGGGAGTCGGCGGGGGCCGGCTGGCAGCTGCTGACCCTGGCGGGCGCGCGAGTGCCCACGGCTGGCCGCGTCCTAAGCGCGGGGATCCCAGGTCCCGACAGTCTTCCGGGTGACCAGCTCGGCCGCTGCCCGGAGGCGCGCCTGTGACTTTAAGAGGCCAGAGTGTCGCCCCGCCCCCTAGGGCGCTGATTGGCTCCTCTCGCGGCATGCGCCGGGTTTTCCCAGCGGAACTCCATTTCTATTGGCTACTGGGCGGGCCGGGGGTGTTACCAGTAGGGACCGGGGCTATTTTCGCAGTTTGGGCTGGACGAAAAGGACGCTCCTGCCTTCCGGGTCGGCGCTGCCGGAAGGGACCGCGCGGGGTCCAGCGCGCCGCTGCGGCCGGACCAGCTGACCGCGGCCGGCCTCTCCCGCCGACCCCCGCACTGCCCACGGCGCCGAGCGGCCCCGGCTCCTGCTCGACGCTCCCCGGCGCGGCCGCCTGCGCTGGGCCCCCAGGCCGGAGTCCCGTGGCCTGGACTCGGCCCAGCACCCCCGGCGGCGGCGGATGAGCGGCCCGGGGGCCCGCAGGTAAGCGGGGGACCCCACTGACCCGACCCCCCCGCTGCTGCTGGCGAGGGGGCCCCGTTCCCGCGGGGGCCCAGTAGGTCCTGGTGGGGGTCTCCCCGCGGAGGGGACACGGGGGCCACCGCCGCACCCCGGGGTCACCTCGCCCCCAGCCTGGTGTATGTCGGGGTTCACCAGCTACAACTTGGGGTGGGGGGTGCGGTGCAGATGCGGCCCCGGCCCCGTGTCGGACAGGCCCGCCTGCCCCATCCCCCGGGGAGTGACCCCTTTCTGCTCAGGGACACCCTTGGGTGGCCAGGGGCTGCCCGCAGGAGGGAGCCGGTAATGGGGCGGGCCACCAGGGGGTGGGGGTCGAGCTGTCCATGGACCCCTGGCCGGGGGGGGGGGGCGGGGGGGGAGGGGGGCGGTTAGGCCTGGAGACTCGGGACCGTGTCCCCTCCTGCAGGACCCGTCCCCTCCTGCAGGCGGGGGACAGGTCCAGCCAGCAGCCTGGCCAGTGGCCGGGGAGCTGTGTAGCTGCCAGCCGGACACCCAGCTTGGCTGTCCCCGACCTCCAAGGCTCTGCCGCACTGGCCCGCGTGATGGATGGAGGATTGATTCTTCACATCCAGCACATACTGTGTCCACGGGAGGGGGGTAGGGCTAGCCCCACGGAGCACTTGAATGCCACCTCCAGGGCGAGGGCCACTTTGTAGGGTGGTGCAAAGTGAAGCTGGCTGGAGAGATAGCCTTGGAGGGCCCCTCGGAGGAGGTGGCCTGGCAGCTGAGACTCTTAAAAGGGCTTCCCGGAGGAGGTCACCTGATAGCTTAGACGCTGGAGGACTTCTCTGAGGAGGTGGCCTGAGAGCTGAAACTCGGGAGGGCTTCTCTAAGGAGGTGGCTGACAGCTGAGGCTCTGGAGGGCTTCTCTGAGGAGGAGGGGGCCGGGGGTGGGGGGAATGAGCCCGCACAAATGCCCTGTCAGGGGCAGAATTGCTGCAGCTCGAGTCAGAAATGAAGTTGGGGCAGCAGGCAGGGGCCGGCCAGGGTGACTCCCCCTCCCCCCTGACCCTCCAGCTGAAAGGGGAAGAGACTGTGTGCTGGGCACTCGTCTTCATCCTGTTGTGCTCCAGGACGCCAGAAGTCCCCGCCCTGCCTGGGGCTGGCGCTGGGACAGCCTGGAGACTCCCTCTGTCCCTGCGTCCACCCCAGTGGGCTCGGGTCAGCCCCCCTTGGCCAGAGGAGTGATGCGGACAAGCCCCTGTCCAGTGCTCCCAGCCGCAGGCTCGGCCGGCCCCTGCGTGCCCAGATCTGGCGGCGTGCCCCGTGGGCCGACCAGCCCGGCCACGGAAGGACGAGGTGGCGGCCGGAGCCGGGTGGGGACATGCCTCTGGAATGTGGGTGAGGTCAGGTGGAGGGAGCACCCGCCTGGGCCCTGTGGTGCCGGGCCCTGGGCTGGCACCCGGCACTCTGCAGCCCCAGACTCCCTGACCTTGCTGGGGTCCCTGCATCCTGCTGCCTGAAGGGACCGCGTACTGCCCTGGAGGCAGGAGGTCGTTGTGGGCAGTGCCCTCACCCCGCAGATGCCCCTCGTCCCGGGAGCGGTGAGCTTGTTGTGCCCTGCGTCCCCCCTGATAGACGCTGGTGACTGCATCTTCTTGGGAGTCTGTGCTATCTTGGGCTTGGACGCCGCGGCTCCCGCGGCTCTGACAGGCAGCTCGGGTCCGGCGAGGCGGCAGAGCAGCGCCACCACCTGGGCGTGGGTGGGGATGCAGCTCCCCCACCCCCCACTGCGACAGTGCGGCTGGAAAACTGAACCCCAGAGCCGGGAGCTGGGTGAGGGGCCGGCGGGTGCCCCAGGCCCGGCGCGCTCCTGTGTGACTTTTGCAGCTGCTGGGTTAAGCCTCACAGCCGTCTTGGTGGGTAGGAACACCCACCCGCCCCTTTGTGACACTCCAGAGATGGGAAATGACACACCAGCGATCACAGCGTGCAGTGCGGCCAGTGGGGGGTGGTCCCCCAGCTCTGCCCAGCCCCAGTTATTGTTGTTCAATTGATAAATGAGGGTTAATCGCCTGAAGCCAGCCTGAGTGGGAATGGGCGGGGAGGAGGAGTGGGTTCGATGCTCTCACTGAAAAGTCTCGGCGGGCAGACCAGCTTCAGGTGCGGCTGGATCCAGGCGCTCCCATGCAGCTCTGGGTCCTTCGGTCCCTCCGCGCCCCCTTCCTGGGTGAGATTTCTCCTCCTCCTCTGCCTCTCCGCATGCGGAGGGTCCAGCTGATGTAGCTCAGATGCCAGTTCTGCCCTTAGCAGCGAGTGTGTGGCTGTTTGGGAAGTCCTGGCTGACCGGGGAAGGGTGGAGCGTCCCGCTCGGCCAGGCTGAGGTCCCACGCACCTTCTCCCTGGGTGAGCTGTCCTTGAACCTCGCGGGTGGAGGCCGAGGAGCTGGGCTTGTCTGTCGGGGAAAGCCTAACCAAGAGGGCGGCTCCTCCGCCAGCCTTCCCGCAGTTCCTGGAGCCTCCGTCTGGGGCCAGGGGTTTGCGCCACGGCAGGAGAGGGGAGCGGGACAGAGGGATTCCAGGGTTCCGCGGTCTTGTTTGGGGGGACGCGCACACCCCGCAGTGCTCAGTGCTGACTCCTGGCTCTCCGCTCAGGGATCACTCACGGCGGTGCGTTGGGGACCCCGTGGGTGGTGGGAATCGAACCCAGGCCAACCCTTGTCCTGTGGCTCATGCCCTGCGCCCCCCCCCCCCCCCCCCCGCTCCCCTCACCCCAGTCCAGCAGTCTTGAAGGGGGCCCAGGTGTCTGCAGGGTGCTGAGCCAGGTTCTTCCTGTGGGTGCAGGGCGCACAACCGTCCAGCAGGGGGAGCCGCTCTTGAGTGCGTCTCAAGGGGTCTTCCTTGGTCCCTGCCCTGGCCCAGCAGGTCGGTGTTCACTGGAGTGGGCTGGCAGGGGGTGGCGTGGTGGGGGCGTTCCGAGGGGGGCAGGCCCATTAGCGCAACATACCAGGCAGCCCAGGGCCATAATCACAGAACCACCTCGTCCCCCAAGTCAAGTCTCTGCATCAACTGGGAGGTCGCCCCCAAACCCTGCCGAGGGTCTCGGGGTGGGGACCCCAGAACACACCAGCACCTTGGGAGCATGGAATGGGCGTCTGGTGGGGGGACACCATGGTGCAGACCCCCGTGCCGCTTGGGGTTGGCATAGTCCCCCTTCCCGCACACCTGCCCCGCACGTCTGTCCCTGGTCTGCCGGCCTCAGATCTTCCTGGCTGATCCCCAGGACTTGTTATCTGCCCACACCCCGCTCTGCTGCCCTCAGTGCTGAGACCTTTATTACTGGGCAGGAGGAGGGGCCGCACCTGGACTGTGCTCAGGGTCACTCCTGGTGGTCTCGGGGATCACATGTGGTGCCGGGGGTCAAACTGGCATTGCCCACATCAGGACAAGTGCCTCACCCCCGTGCTCGCTCTGTCCTTCTGGGCCGACTCCGGACTGTCCACACTCGGGTGGACCCACGGGCACCTGGACAGAGAGCCCCTCCTGGGCCCCCGGGGCTCCCTGCAGCCCTCCTCCTGTGTGACCGTGGTCACTACGATGTCCTGCTCTGTCCTGCTGGCCGTGGGCGTCCCCTCTGTACCAGGCACCCGAGTTGCTTCTGTGTCGGGGAGCCGGGCTTGCACAGTGAGGCTCAGGGAGGCCTGGCTGCCTTCCTCAGGGGCCGCCGCAGCTTCATGGGGCCACCCCGTGTCGGGACAGGCTGAGGAATCCTGTTCCCAGGGACCCCAGGATTCCAGACGCCAGGAAGGGCGATGCCAAGTAGCGGGCGCTGCTGTGCTGGGCACACAGTCCTGGGAGCTGCCCCTGCTCAGGGCCGGGTGTCGCAGCCCGGGGACAACCCCCTCTGCTCCGCACCCACGTCTCTGCCCCCCACCCCCCCAGGGCCAGCTGCTGGCGGGATGGACGCCCTGGAGGAGCCGTGGGCCAACGGTAGCAGCGCGCCACCCGCTGCCAACATCAGCGCCCCCCACCGCTGCTTGCTGCTCCTCTACCAGGACATTGGCGCCTCGCGGTGAGGCCTGCGCGCGTGCGTGTGCGTGCGTGAGTGCCTGCATGAGCACATGTGTATGTGCATGAGTCAGTGTGTGCACGAGGGTGTCTGTGCACGAGTGAGAATGTGCGTGAGTGCATGTGTGTGTGCATGAGTGTGTATGTGTGTGTGTGTGCATGAGAGTTTGTGCGAGGGTGTGCATGTGAGTGTGTGAGTGCGTGTGCCTGTGGGTGCATGAGTGTCTGTGCATGGGTCTGTATGTGCATGAGTGTGTGTAGTGCATGAATGAGTGCCTGTGAGTGCATGCATGAGTGTGTGCGTGAGTGCCCGTGTGAGTGGGTCTGCCTGTGTGAGTGCCTGGCAGGGGGCTCGGGTGGACCCAGACTCTCTGTGAGTGGCCTCCGCCCCTGACCACTAGGGTGCGCTACTGGGACCTGCTGCTGCTCATCCCCAATGTGCTCTTCTTCATCTTCCTGCTCTGGAAACTTCCGTTGGCTCGGGCCAAGATCCGCGTCACCTCCAGCCCCATTTTCATCACCTTCTACATTCTGGTGGGTGCACGCAAAGCCCGCCCAGCCGCAGCGGGCGGGAGCGGGGTGGGGCGGGGCCCGGGAATTGTTGCTGGCCTCAATTGGGTCCGGCTGGCCCCAGGGGTTCGATGGTACCGTCTGGCCCCATTCCCTTCTCCCCCCTTTTTTTTAATTACACCCAGCGATGCTCAGGGGTTACTCCTGGCTCATGCACTCAGGAAATACTCCTGGAGGTGCTCAGGGGACCATATCGGATGCTGGGAATTGAACCCGGGTTGGCTGTGTGCAAGGCAAACTCCCTGCCCGCTGTGCTATGGCTCCAGCTCCTCCCACTTACCCTTTTCTCGCCCCATGGGGTGTCTGAGTGCCCAGCGCCAGTCTGAGCTGACACGCCCTCCCGGGCTGGAGGGGGGTGGGAGCTGGGGGGACAAAACCGGGAAGTGCCCTGAGCGTCCTGGGGTTGGGGGGCAGGTTCCAGCCCATGGTCTGTCCACCTACTGGCACAGGTGTCCGGCCTGGGGGGGAGCAGTGGTCAGGGGTGCCGCGTGGCCTGCGGGGATGGGGCAGCTGTGGCTCGGCCCCCCGAGTGTGTCTGCGTCTGAGGACTGAGGGCTGACCCCGCGCTCCTGGGCACAGCTGGCATTGGGGACACCCCTCCCGCCACCTGTGCCATCTCACCTGGCTTCAGGGACCCTTGGGGGGGGCCCACCCTCCCCTACAGCAGGGGAGGGGCATGTGCTGCCTGGCCGCCCGCAGCCCTAAGCTGGGGTGGAGCCCCCCCAAGAGCACCTGCGGAAGTGGGGGGACAGAGTGGGGGGTGGGGTTTGTGGGCCCAGGGGGTGGGGGCTCCTGCTGCCCGCCTGCCTGTGGGTTGACCCGGGGCCCAGCTCCTGTCCTCAAGGCGCTGCGCCCTCTGCCCTCTGCCCAGGTGTTCGTGGTGGCGCTGGTGGGCATCGCCCGGGCCGTGGTGTCCATGACGGTCAGCTCGTCCAATGCGGCGACGGTCGCAGATAAGGTGTGGCCGGGCCCCGGGAGGCGGGATGGGGTGGTGCTGGGCGCTGGAGGGGGGCTGGTGGGGCGCCCCCCCAACCCTCTGCCCACTCTGTGTCCAGATCCTGTGGGAGATTACCCGCTTCTTCCTGCTGGCCATCGAGCTGAGCGTGGTCATCCTGGGCCTGGCCTTTGGTGCGTGTGCTGCGGGGGGGAGGGCGGGGAGGGTCCCCGCGTACTCGACTGGCTCCACTGACCGGCCAGCACGGTTTTTCCAGGTCACTTGGAGAGCAAGTCAAGTATCAAGCGGGTGCTGGCCATCACCACGGTGCTGTCCCTGGCCTACTCTGTTACCCAGGTGAGGGGACCTGTGGGGCAGGTGCCGCCTGGAGGGCTTCCTGGAGGAGGCAAGGAGAGGCTCTGTGGGCAGCAAAGCTTTCCTGGTCCTGGGTCAGGGCTGGAATGTTTATCGAGGCAGAGTCTCAAAGTTTAATTGATTAAAGGGTTCTTTTGTTTTGTTTTGTTTTTGTGAGCCATGCCAAGCAGTACTCAGGGCTGACTCCTGGCTCTGCACTCAGGAATACTCCTGGCAGTGCTCGGGGGGACCCTGTAGGGTGCCGGGGATTGAACCTGGGTTGGCTGTGTGCAAGCCCTCCCCGCTGTACTATCACTCCAGCCTAGAGCACTGCCAGGAGTGAGCCCTGAGCACAGAGCTGGAAGTCAGCCCTGAGCACAGAGCCAGGAGTGAGCCCTGAGCACAGAGCTGGGAGTGAGCCCTGAACACAGAACTAGGAGTCAGCCCTGAGCACAGAGGCAGGAGTCAGCCCTGAGCACAGAGTCGGGAGTGAGCCCTGAGCACAGAGCCAGGAGTAAACCCTGAGCACAGAGCCAGGAGTCAGCCCTGAGCACAGAGCCGGGAGTGAGCCCTGAGCACAGAGCTGGGAGTGAGCCCTGAGCACAGAGCCAGGAGTCAGCCCTGAGCACAGAGGCAGGAGTCAGCCCTGAGCACAGAGCCGGGAGTAAGCCCTGAGCACAGAGCCAGGAGTCAGCCCTGAGCACAAGCAGGAGTGAATCCTGAGCACAGAGCTGGGAATGAGCCCTGAGTACAGAGGCAGGAGTCAGCCCTGAGCACAGAGGCAGGAGTCAGCCCTGAGCACAGAGTCGGGAGTGAGCCCTGAGCACAGAGCCAGGAGTAAACCCTGAGCACAGAGCCGGGAGTCAGCCCTGAGCACAGAGCTGGGAGTCAGCCTTGAGCACTGCTATGTGTGGCCCAAACCAATGAATGGGGCTTTGTTAATACAGCAGCGTCCTGGCCTCACCTCTCCCTGGACTGATCAGTAGTTGGGGTGGGGATATTGGGGACACCGAGGCATGCGCAGAACTCTTCGCTGTGCATGTAGACGCCCCTTTCTCAGGGCACCCTGTGCTGAACGCCCAGCAGTGGGCAGGACCTGGCCCGAGGGCAGGCTGCGGCAGGGACCCTAGCTCGCTGCAGGGGAACCTGGGCGCCGTCTCGGGGACTGCTCTGGGGAGGCGACCCTCCTCGGGCAGCGTCCCCTGATGTCCTGGCCCGCCCCAGGGGACCTTGGAGATCCTGTACCCCGACGCCCACCTCTCCGCCGAGGACTTCAACATCTACGGCCACGGGGGCCGCCACTTCTGGCTCGTCAGCTCCTGCTTCTTCTTCCTGGTGAGGCCACGGCGGGGGTGTCCCCCTAACCGCACAGCCCCCTCCCCTGGGGGGCTGTGGTGGGCGAGGCAGGGGGACCCCCGCGTCCTGCTCAGCCCCGCCCTGTCCCCCGCAGGTCTACTCGCTGGTGGTGGTGCTCCCCAAGACGCCGCTGAAGGAACGCATCTCCCTGCCCTGTGGGTGCAGCGGGGAAACTGAGGCACGGGGCTGGGCGAGGGGGGACTGAGGCTCGGGGCGGGGAGGGGAGGAGACTGAGGCTCGGGGCGGGGCCAGGGGAGACCGAGGCCTGGGGCGGGGCGGGGAGACGGGCCGGGCTGGCGCCCCCTCATGGCCAACCGGGGTCCTGCAGCCCGGCGCAGCTTCTACGTCTACGCGGGCATCCTGGCGCTGCTGAACCTGCTGCAGGGGCTCGGGAGCGCGCTGCTGTGCGCCGACATCATCGAGGGGCTCTGGTAGGTGGGCAGCACCCCGGGCCCGCTGGGCGTGGGGGGCCGGGCCCCCAGCGCCCAGTCCGCCCTGACCCCGCCGCCTTGCCCCGTCCAGCTGCGTGGACGCCACCACCTTCCTCTACTTCAGCTTCTTCGCCCCCCTCATCTACGTGGCCTTCCTCCGGGGCTTCTTCGGGTGAGTGTCCCCCTGGCCTGCCGGCCGGCCAGCGCTGGACATTAGGGTGGGGCGGGGCCCCTGAGCCGGGGCTCCCAAGTTCTCGTGCGCGTGCGCCTGGGGCCGCTGGCGGGGCCGCCCCTTCTCCCTGTGTCCAGTGTCCAGCCCCCAGGCCTGCGGGTCCTGCAGCTCCCGGTGGGGCCCGCGGTGGACGCGGCCGCACCCCTGTTGGCACCGGGAGCAGCGGGAGCGCGCCCAGGGCTGGGGGTGGAGGCGGGGAGGGGAGTGGGCGTGGGTGGCCCAGGAGGACCGCGCTTTGCGCCGCACCTGTGTCCTCTGGGCTGCGGCTCCTGCCTGTAAGCCGGGGGCAGCGTCCCCGCAGGTGGGCCAGGCCTGCAGGGGCGCCAGGCTGCCCTCCTGACCCCGCCCCGCCCTCCCGCCAGCTCGGAGCCCAAGATCCTGTTCTCCTACAAATGCCAAGTGGACGAGGCGGAGGAGCCCGACGTGCACCTGCCGCAGCCCTACGGCGTGGCCCGGCGCGAGGGCCTGGAGGCCAGCACGGGCAGCACCCAGTTCGACGCGGCGGGCGGGGCCTGCCTGGACGACGTGGCCTCCATGCCCTGCCACGCCGGCAGCATCAACAGCACCGACAGCGAGCGCTGGAAGGCCATCGACGCCTGAGGCCGCGCGGGGAGGGAGACCGAGGCACCGCCCAGAGACCTCCCCCGCCCGGACCGCCCGCCCGCCCGCGCGCCCTCCCCAGCTCAGGCCCCCGGGGCTGGCCGCGGGCACCCCCAGGACTGCTGTGGCCCCCCGCCCCGTCCCGCGGCCACCGGAGTGTGTATATTTTCTTGATCTATTTTTTAATAAAAAGGCAACGGAGCAGGAGGTTGTCTGTCGGCGGAGGGGGCCGCAGGAGCACAGGTCGGGCTGGGCTCTTGTATTTGTCCACCCCGGTGCGTCCACATCCGTCCCCGTCCCCCCCACGAGGAGGCAGGCGTTATCTGTGGGTGCCGCCAGCACCCCACCCCACCCTGTGGGAGACCCGCGGAGTCCCTCCTGCCTCTGCTCCTGACCCCCTTCCCAGGGCTCTGTTTTGCCACCTGTGAAACGAGTCAAAGGAGGACAGTGACATGCCCGGGACAGTGACTGAGGGGGACTTGCTCCCGGAAGGCCGGGGGCGGGGGGGGGGGGAGGCGGCACTCTTATGGGGGGTGGCTGTGGGAGGAGTGAGCGCGGGGAGACCCCGGCAGGGTGTCAGGTGGGCACGTCCCAGGCACGCTCACAGCATACAGCCTCTCGAGTGCCCACCTCTGAGTGCCAGCAGCCAGGGACTTGGGGAGGGGCCCTGAGGGGGCGGCCACCGTTGGCACCCACCTCCTCTGTCGTTTGGCCTGCTGGTGGCCTTGGGGCCCAGGGCCCTGATGGCTGTTTCCTGGCTGGCCCTCCTGGGCACAGGTCCTTGGGGGGGGGGGTGTCCACTTTGCCATACAGGGTCTGGGCAGGACGGGCGGCCTGCAGGGAGTTGGCAGCAGCGGACATGGGAGAAAGCAGCTTTGTGTCGCATGGAAAAGAAGGGGTGCTCCGGGGCTGTTTCTGCCTCAGTGCTCAGCAGTGCCCCCTGCTGGTGCTCAGGGGAACTTGAGTGGTGCTGGGTCTAATTTGAGCCCCTGTACAGCAGGGAGGGCGGTTGTTTGCCTTGCATGTGGCCAACCGGATTGGATTCCTCCATCCCTCTTGGAGAGCCCCGCAAGCTATCGAGAGTATCCTGCCTGCACAGCAGAGCCCGGCGAGCTCCCCATGGTGCATTCGATATGCCAAATACAGTAACAACAAATCTCACAATGGAGACGTTACTGGTGCCCGCTTCAGCAAAGCGATGAACAATGGGAGGACAGTGCTGCCTCTCAGTCCTGAAAAGGCTTTTAAAAACGGGCCATGGGGCTACGGAAAGAACAGCCCCTGCAGTGCCTACCGCACGAAGTCGGGGGTGGGACGGGGCCTTCCCAGAGGCATCCGCATGGAGAAGCCTGTTTGTGTCTCCCCCGTGGGGGCAGGGGTTGGCCCTGGTCTGGGGCAGGGGTTGGCCCTGGTCTGGTCATGCGACATGGGTCCCGGGACCCGCCCTGTCGGCTGGGAGGACGTATCTCTGGCGGCCGCACCAACAGTTTATTTACTGGGCCCAGGAGCGACTTCGTTTCTAATCTATTTTGTAACAATGCGGCGACAAAAAAATCCTTCGAAATATGCTTTTGATTAACTAGTGCAGGCGGAATTGCTGGAGCACATGGTCTTAATTAGCTTTAATGAGTCTGAACAGTCTTCAGGCAGAGACCGAGAGACGTCATCCTCCCCTCTCCTCCTGAACACAGAATCTCCGATTTGTAGCTGGAACGAAGACGGGACTTTCCAGTCTTTCTTGTAGGGGTGGTGTGACCAGGTGTCTTACGTTCTAGCCCAGGGGTGGTTGTGAATGGGTTTGACGCTATAAATTTTTTAATTCACTTTTAATTTTTTGGTTTTTGTTTATTTTATTGAATACACAGTTACAAAGTTGTTCATGATTGGGTCTCAGTCTTATAATGTTCCAACACCCGTTCCTTCACCAGTGTACATTTCCCACCACAAATGTCCCCAGTTTCCCTCCTCCCACCATGCCCCCAGCCTGCCTCTATGGTGACAGTTCTCTCTCTGTCTCCCTCTATCTCCCTTACTTTTTGGAAATTATTCACTGTCACTGTCCTCCCGTTTTTCATTGATTTGCTTGAGCAGGCCCAGTAATGTCTCCATCATGAGACTTGTTGTTACTGTGTTTGGCATATCAAAGACATCACCGGTAGCTTGCCAGGCTTTGCCATGTGGGTGAGATACTCTCAGTACTTGCCGGGCTCTTGGAGAGGGGCAGAGGAATCGAACTCGGGTTGGCCATGTTGGCTGTGTGCAAGGCAAACGCCCTACTGCTGTGCTATCACTCCAGCCCTTGGAAATTATTATGGTTTACAATACAGGTACTGAAATGTTATCATGTATATCTCTTACCCAGCTCTTGTCCAGAGTGATCATTTCTGACTATTATTGTCTTACTGTCCCTTCTCTGTCCTAACTTCCCTTTGCCCCCTCACACTGGTGGCAAGCGTCCAACCACTGAGCAGTCCTCCTGGCCCCCGTTTCTCCTGGTCCTGGATGCTAGGGCTTTGACACTTTCTTTCTTTTTTTTTTTTTTGCTTTTTGGGTCACACCCAGCAATGCACAGGGGTTACTCCCGGCTCTGCACTCAGGAATTACTCCTGGCGGTGCTCGGGGGACCATATGGGATGCTGGGAATCGAACCTGTGTCAGCCATGTTGACTGCGTGCAAGGCCTTATCTGCTGTGCTATCGCTCCAGCCCTGACACTTTCTTAAAAGGAGGCTCGGCGTGTTCTTTCCTGTGAGCTGGGATGGGGGTGGAAAGGCTGGAGTCCCAGCAGCCATTTGGGGAGTGGAGGCTGTTCCTGGCCAGCAGAGAAGGAGTTTGTGTTCCTGCCATGGTGGCACCTCAGCGAGCCTCTTACCTTCCGGTGACTTTTTTTTTCTTTTTGAGTCACACCCGGTGATGCACAGGGGTCACTCCTGACTTTGCACTCAGGAATTACTCCTGGCGGTGGTTGGGGGACCATATGAGATGCTGGGAATCAAACCTGGGTCGGCCGGGTAGAAGGCAAATGCTCTATCTGCTGTGCTATGGCTCCAGGCCCATCTTTCGGTGACTTTTGGGGGGTGTGAGTGGGTCTAAAGGCCTAGCACATTTAAACCATTCTGGGTTTTCTCGAGGTCACCTCTGAGCCTCACCAGAACCAGTGGCCCCTTCAGAGGGACAGGGCCGGTTTCCCCCAGGCTGTGCTGTTCAGGTTTCCTCTTCCTAGGCTCTGCTCTCGTGTGGTCTGGGGCCTGACGCCTTCTCGAATGCCATGTCCACGTGGGAACAGGCCCCAGTCGGAAGGGTGGGTGAAAGGAGGTGGGGGTGAGGGCCACGCGAGACCCCCGTTCTGGAGCACATCCCAAACACCGCTGCTTGTGGTGCTGGATTTTGGAGCCCCGTTGCCTCGCCAGCCCTGGGGAGAAGTAGCTGACCTCGATTCCCTTAGTGACCGCACTCTAATGTTCCGTGGGCCCGAGAGGCACCTGGTGGTGAGCTGGATGGTGCAAAGTCCCTGGGACTGTCATCATGGGGGGGGGGACCACGCTCTGGTCAGTGGGGAATCAGCAGGAGCGCGAGAGGCTGTGTAAAGGGGGCCACTTCTGCTTCGAGGCATCTCTCTTGGCCTCCAGCCTTGGCCTTCTGGTCTCCTGGCCCTGGTACCAGATGGGATCACCAGACGACCCAGTCACCTGGAGCATCTGGGCCCACGGAAAGCGGTGCAGGCTTCCCACCTCAGCCAGCAGGGGGAGCTCGAGGATCGGGAAGTTCCCACTCAGGCCCGACTCAACCAGCAGGGGGAGCTCGAGGGTAGGGAAGTGCCTGCTCAGGCCCGACTCAGCCAGCAGGGGGAGCTCGAGGGTCCATAAGTTCCCGCTCAGGCCCGACTCGCCAGCAGGGGGAGCTCGAGGGCCGGGAAGTTCCTGCTCAGGCACGTCTCAGCCAGCAGGGGGAGCTCGAGGGTCCAGAAGTTCCTGCTCTGTCCTCCACGGAACCAAGTGCTGATGGCGGGACCTTGCAACTGTGCTGCAGGACTGGACGGGCCCCTCCACCCCAGAACTGCAAACCCCAGCGAGACCAAAAGGCCAGGGCTCGCCTCCCTGCATCCTGTAAGCAACCAGGAGCCCCGGGAAACGCAGGTACTGCCGGCAGACCCAGCTCAGCGGGCTGGAGCGGGGATGGACCCCTGAGTCTCATTCCAACCTCCAGGGGACAGGGGAGGAGCCGTGGGAGGGGAGCACTGCAGTCCAGGGGGCAGGGGTGGAAGGAACCGGCTTTCAGGTATCACAGCCCGGAGGAGCGTGGGGTCTCCTGGCGAGCTCTGAAGGCCCACGGGGTCCCTAGTCTGGGTGGGGGTCAGAGGTCACAGCCCGGGGAGATTTGAGCTCGGCCTTCAGGCCAGGGGTAAGACACCCCACTGGGTTCTGGGGCCATGGGTCCAGGTGAGGAACTGCAGCTGCCCCATCATCGGCCTAGGGTGCAGGGGTCCCCAAGAGCACTGACCCAGAGGCACAGAGACCCCAGGACTGCGTCTGACAGAGCCGGGACCAGTGTGAGCCTCTGGGGCACAGAGCCCCCCTTCCTCAGGCCCACCTCTGCCTTTTTCAAACGACCTGGGTGGGGCTGCTCCAAGGCTGCGTCCCTCAGTTTCCCGCACTGTAGGTGACCTCAGGCTGGTGCTACCAGCCCCTTCCTGCAGGGGCTGGCGCTGAGCCCCTTCTCCAGCCCAATCCCCACACTGTCTCTCAGCAGGACCTTCCTGGGGGTCCCCTGGCTGGGAAGGGGGGCAGCGGTTAACTGCACTGTGCATGGGACTCGTCCACCGACCGCCCAAGCGTGGCCAGCACTTTATTCCTTTATTGTTTGGAGCCAGCGGCTCAGCTGGGTGTGGTGAGCGCATCAAGGCCAGGGCCCCGCCAGAGGCGTGTTTAGTGGTTACGGCTTCAGGCCCAGCGCCGGTCCATCCCAATTGGCTGCCGCCTGGTGACATCCTCGGGCCTGGGGGAGGCGGTGCTGGCCGCAGGGACCCTCAGCTCCCCACTCCCCGCCCAGGGGGACAGAGCCACTGAGGACGGTCCCCGGACACCTCCAGCCCTCTTGACTGCTGGCCGGCTAATCTCCTGCTGGAGCCCCCCTGGGAAGGTGACCTTCCAGAACATTCCTTCTGCTCCAGTTCCTGTACTGACTCCCCCCCTCATGCTGGCT